GCTGCTGGAAACGCTGGCAGGACTCGGTACAGACAGGACTGAACCTTGACACAGCTCTGTCCCCTGGGACCCAGGGTGCCAGGCCAGAGAGACTGATGGAAATATGACACAAGCTTGATTTAAATGGACACTGATGGGACTGAAAGCCCTGCCCGGAATGTGGGAAATGGATTTGTAGAGAATTCTCAAAGCTTGACAGAAGGCTCACATAGTGTGCCTCTGTATGCAGAATTTGAGATAAGAAATGCTGACTTAGAAATGCTATGGAATAGGACATTGAGAGAGATAAATCTTCCTCACACAACGCACCAATTTATCAGATTATGCCCTTTTCTGACCCAGAAATAAGGCAACTGAGAAGTGTTTTTAAAAACTTTTATTTCCTTTTCAGTCTCACGTGAAGGGTGAGACAATACAGATGTTCTAATTCACGCCATCACAATCAGAAGCCAACTATTTCCTAATTACAATACATTATAAGCGTTTCTTGGCCTATTAGCTTTTGCTACACTATGCTGTCAATGCCTTAAAACCAATCATCTAAAATTACCCCTCATGAATCTTATTACAATGCATCTTTCATAGTTCTATCTCTCTAAAGTATCTAGTCTTATTTACAAACTCATCCTTTAACACTTGTTTCTAGTTCCATTTCTCTCTCAACAATGTTTGTCCTATTCCATGGCATTTCTAAGTCAGCATTTCTTATCTCAAATTTTCCATTCAGATACATACTATGTAAACCTTCTGTCAAACTCTTGACAATTTTCTATAAGTCCATTTCCCACAGCAGAACTGCTGCCTGCCCAGCACAGGAGCTGCAAGTGCTGTTGTAGGGCACAATGCCTGAAGGAACACTGGAGCTGTGACATTAAAGCCAGCAAAAACAATTACTAAGTAGAAAGAGATCCTCACCTGCTCCAAGAACTGAACCTCTGTGGCTCATCCTCATGGGGTGACCCTGCTCCAGGGAGGAATCTCCACACAGTCCCCGAGACCTGGGGTCAGACGCCGACCCTACCAGCAGAAGAACAAGGGGTTAGTGAAGCTTTTTGGACACATTCTGTCCTCAGAGTGGTCTGACAAAACACCCATCAATGTGGATCTTTAATAAAGGCAGCTGGTACCTATGCTTGCAACAGACTTTCATGTGTTATTTCCTCAAAGTCTGTTTTAATGCATTTTGATATTAAAAGTGTTTAAACAAGATTTACCATGAGCTCTGCACCCTGCCATGCTCCAAGCCCTAAGGAAGAGCTGGATATCCTCACACTCACCCAAGCTGAGGCAGCTCTCACATGGGGAGGGAGCTGCTGCAGCATTTAAAAACACTTAAAAATCACCCCTGCCTTGAGGGCATCCAGACCTGGGAGAAAGCCCTTCCCACCACCCTCTTGGATTTCCCTCCCTGCCACTGGCTTTACTTCCAGCTTGGGAAGGTTTGTCCTGGGGCCATTTCAGCAGCACAAAGGGCTTTTCCAATCTCAGGGGCTCCATGGGAGCTCAGTGACTGACCCAGCTGCGCACCCAGGCACGGGGGGAAGCTCTAAACACAGATTATCCTGCCATGGGCCAGAGCACTCCAGGGCATCCTTGGAACAGCTGCAGAGAGCAGGAAAAAGACACAGCTGCAGCACTGATCCTGCTCCCTGCTTTCCCAGAGGGGCAGGAACACCATTTCCTCCTGATCCTGAGAGCTCCAAGGGAAATCCCTGTTAGGGTGGCACTGAAGGTGCCACTTTTCTGCCACCCTTGCCCTAGAACCACAGCCCAGCAGGTTTCTGTGGGAGCGGGGATTATTGCTGCAGTTCAGAAGCTGCACATCCCTAAAGCATTTCCTTAGGAACATGAAGCTTCCCACGTGCATTTTGTAGTTCAGTTAATAATTTCAGCGTATTTCAAGAGAGTTTAAATCAGAATGAGGTGACTTGGTGCCAGCACAGCATTAGCTATGGGCCATCAGGAGACTCACCAGACGACATTCTCTGCAGAGCCTCCATTCTCAGCACTCCAGCTGCAGTAGTCGCATTTCTCACGGACTCCGAGCTCTGTTTCCAGGGCTCCCATCAGGAAACTGGCGGCCGCTTCCAGGTGCAAATCCCCAGGGCACCCCTGATCCCAACCACTGCTCTTCTGCCCCCCGGACCCCCCTTCCTCCATCCTTTACCCCTTTTATAACCACAGCCCGCCCAGGACACAAAAGGAGGCTCCCAGGTGCCTCCTGAGACCCAAATCATTCCAGGTGCATCAGCAAATCAATAGAAATAAGCTCGTCCCTTTTGGGGTAATGAATTATCTTTTTCTCTATTCCCCCTTCTGTCTCCTGCTCCTGTTTCCTAAGGCAAAACACCTGGACCAGGTGGGGCTCAGGGGGAAAATGTCAAGTCCAAAACCGAGCCAAACTTGTTTTTCCAGCGGTTTCCATCAGGACTGTTCAGGTTTCCCCCCGACCCTCGGCCGTACCACGGGAGCAGCTTCTCCGTGCGACCCCCGGGGGTGGCACAGGGACCCCATCCCGCTGCTCCCCGGGAAACAGAGCCCAGCGCAGCCCACAGAACCGTGGCACCGCAGCTGGGAGCGCGGCGCGGGCTTTATTCCCTGGCACACGATCCCGGGGAGCCCCAAGTGCCGGGACAAACCCGTCCCGCACACGGAGCATTTGCTGCAGGGGATGTTTCTGAGGGGATCCGCCCGCGCTGCTCCGGCCCTGCCCCGCCCGCGGCCCTGAGGCGAGCGGCGGCCCCGGCTGTGGCGGGCGGCGGTGCTGCCGCCGTGTGGGCAGAGGGCGGCACTGCAGCCCCGCCGGGGGCTCGGGCAACAAGGGCGGGAAAATCGAGGCGCCCAGTCCGTCCATGGCAAAGACAAGAGAGCGGCAGGAAGGGAAGGACACGGAGGCGGCAGGAAGGAAAGGCAAGGCTGGCAGGGGAAAAGGCAATGAATGGAAGGGTAGACAAACTAAGCAAGGACAGGGACAAAAGTTGTAAGCGAGGCAAGGCAGGAGATGGGCATGCAAGGCAATGATGAGAGGCCAAGGCAAGTCTAGGGTTGGCTTTGTCAGGAAAGCCAAGGTAATAAAAGCTGACAGGGAAAACACCATAAAATTGTGAGAAAGGAAGAAAAGGGGTATTCCTTCGGGAAGGTGACATGGCTGACAGGCAGGCTGAGGTGCCTTTATCAACACGTGCAGCATGGGCAAGAAACCGGAGGAGCTGGAAGCCACTGTGCTGCAGGAAAGTTACAGCCTTTTGCATTTCTGGAATTTGGTGGGATGAATCCCATGGCTGGAGTGTCACTACTGAAGCTACAGCCTGTTCAGAAGATACAGGGGAAGAAGGGGAGATGGAGTTTCTCTACATCAAGAAGTGGATTCCATGTGAGGAGCTGTGTTTGAAGAACAGCCATGAGCAAGTCAAAAGCCTGTAGGTAAGAATCAGTGACCAAGGCAGCCAAGGAGCCCTGTGGTTAGTGTCTACTACAGGCTGCCTGATAAAGGGGATCCTACTGACAAAGGCTTCTTTCTAAAGCTGCAGGAAGCATTGTGCTCATAGGCTTTTGTCCTGCTGGAGGGCTTCAGCCACTGTGCAGTGCAGATCCTTTCTTGGCAGGTGACTGAAACAGAGTTTCAGTGACCTTTTCAGTTAAGGTCTGTCACATGCAAGGAAATGTTGCTTTTGGCATCACTAGAAATTAATGCCAGCTGTAGATATGACAAGATCACAAGTCACTTGCTGACTGAAAATTTTTAAAGAAAGCTGACTGTCTTCAGCAAGATTTAGGATCAAATGCAAAGAGCCACATCTCTTTCATGATTAATTTCGTAGCCACGATTTCATGTCTTTTGACTCATAACATGGATAGTCTTAAGCCATACTTTGTCACCATTTGGTCAGCTCATGAGGTTTTTTAGTTTTTAAAATTGTATTTTCTCAAGGCAGAGAAACTCCAACTATCTATCTTTGAGTAGAGGAGCACATACAAAATGTCAGGGTGAAAGATCACTCATATCAGCAAGGACAAACCAGGTATTGAAGGAGACTGAAGGAGAGGTAAAATCTTAAGTGCTAAAACTGAAGACAGAGCATCACTAAGTCAAATAAAAGATTTGTCTATTTGCTTTTAAACTGGTACAAAGCAAGACAAAGTAAATTATTATAACTACTTCAAATCTAGTAAAAAATGTGCTGAGGTGTGCATTAAGACAAAGGTGGAAGTTTACAAGTTACAAATGCTTAAAACACTTCTTGCTAGGCATAGATAGCATTGCATCAGGCAGTTTCTATTCCAACCATTCTTGAAAGATTTGTATCTCAAAAAGATATGGCATATGAATTCTTAAATTAGACCAATAATGACATACACCCAAAAAAAATCATTCTCTCTTCTCCTCCCTTTCTTTTCTGCTTTCTTGTCATAGAGTGTGACTAAGGAGAAACTGAAAGAATCCATGAGTGACAGCTGACTCCAATCAACCCTCCCTGCTGGAGTGATCAAAGGCCAACTGTAGTGGACAAAACAGGGCTTTACCCTTTGAAGTATATTTCATCCTGTTGAGATCAGCACAAATACAAGGGATGAAACTGACGTCCCATGGCTGCCATCCAAGCTATGAAACTGGAACTCAGTACCACCTGCAAATCTTTTTGCTTGAATCCTTAAAGTAATGATCTTCCCTATCTCCATCCCTTAAAATCCAATTCTGTCAGCTTTTCAGTGTTCAAAATGAACTAGTTAAGATAGCACTGAGGAAAAAAAAAAGAACAAAATAAACCTATTTTATTGTGTAAGTAAGTAGATTTGAGATGGAATTACTAAAAGTTAAGTACAGATGGACCCCCAAACACAGAGTTCTCTTTTTACAGTTGCACTTAAGGATTGTACTTCAAATATGGTTACACGGAATTCTTCCCCCCCCCTCCACATTGACTGCCTCTTAATATTAGAACCTAATCTGCCACAAAATTACATGAAATAAAACAGTGAGAAATATACTTGAGAATGACTGTTGTTTACAAAGAAGGTAATTTATAGTATACAATTACTGATAAGGTAGAACAAGAGTTCAAAAACTGGACTGCATTACAAAGCACTTCTTCAAACATCAATTTTGGATTATTGCTGTAAGGTACTAACTGGTCTGTTCTAGACTAATTTACAGACATCCATAAAATAGTGAAAAATCCATGCTTTAGAAACCTGGGACATTTCATGCCCTTGTGCTAGCAGAACATTAAAATGGAAGTGATTGGCATTTTTCAATGTAGGTTAGTAGCATTTAGAGTTTTTATTCTGGTGTACTAACTGATTCTTCGTATTTTTTCTCTTTTTATTCAGGTGATTTTTCATCTTCAGGTTTACTCCATGGAGGGCTGTGAAACTTCTGTAAAGGTGAAAACATGGTGTATAGAATACATATATACATAAACAGAAATAAAAAAGTGTGTTAAAATTCCATGGCAATGGAATTGTCCCTAGAAAAGGGTCCTGATCTCTATTAAAGAAAGCATAATTAACAACCTTCACAGTGCAGAACCATACAAGTCTGATGCTACATACATCTTCATATCAATGCATATTTTATATATATATATATATATATATATATAAACAACCATATATGTATTTAATATTTAATTATTTTGGAAAACTTTCCTTACTCCTGCTTCCAGGGCTATACACATCACACTGTCAAATTAAGTAATTTGACTACTAATTCATTTCACTACCAGCTTTCCAAATATTTAATAGTTTGCAAATTGTTACCAGCCAGAAAACATTTTGAACACAAGTGCGATCAATTGCGATCAGACACAGTCAGAGTCTGAATTAAGTAGTCTTCTCTTTTGAGACAGAACCTGGTGAAGAATGTGTAAGTATACTTTAAGTAACTGAATTTCACGAGACCTTTTAGTAAAACCCCAAAAATTACTCTGGAAGAGAATACCTGAAAGCTTGTCTCTGTTTCTGCTGCTTTCAAACGAGATGTTGAATCATTATGATTCCCCAGACATGTCTTGGCAACCTGTCAATAGTAATGTCAGAGATAACTACTTCATATTTTTTTCCAAAAATATTCCATTTTCAAAAAAAAAAAACTAAAACCACCAAAATACCCAAAGAAAACCCTCCCCAACAACAACAACAAAAAAAAAAACCAACCCAATTTGCGTCTTCTTTTAAGCCTACTTGATGAAATGCAACAAAAGTTTTCATAGCTAAGCTTATCCCAGACTCCCATCATCCCTGTAACAGTCTTCAACAATGCAGTCTTGTGACAGCAAGTTTAACAACTTCATACTTACCCAGCTTTTTTTCTTCATGTTTAAATCTCATCACCAATAGTGAAGTTTACTTCTACAAGTGGTCCTGGGGAACAGAAAATTAATTACAAGTGTCTTCTATGGGTGAGGAAATAGTAACAAACAGTAGAAAATCAGCTTTATAGTTAGAACTTCTCTATTACTATTCTCTTGGCTATATTCTAGATCTCTTAGGTATAATAATCCCTGAATAGAAATATAAAGTCACTGAATGGAGAAGTCAGATGATTCTCAAGGCAGAAAATCTTGTTGCATTACTTGCTGTCATTTTATTAAAGAAATAATGTTGTATTCTTTGCCAATATACTTTTTAATATCTGGGAAAGCAGAGTTGCACAGCATAAATAAAATTAATTACAAAGTGGATTTTTGAACTAAGGAGATCTTCAGATATGAAACCAGAGATTTACTCAACACTGAAAATTCTACTGTACTTAAATCCAACTCCCTTCAGGAGTAGGATTAAGGATGCCTTAAGGAAAGGAGTTGAAAGATGAAATACAGCCAAGTATTCATAATACTTGGTCATTACTCTAAAATGAGTTCACATTGGAATTTCGCTACTTGTTTTGCTATTAAAAGTGACACATTTAAATGGAGTGAAAATGACAAGGTTTTTATACAGTTTTAAGTCATCAAGACTCTTTCCAGTGTAACAGTGGGGGGGGTTTAATCATGTTTAAGCTACTGAAGGTAGCCTCTGAGATGATGCAGATGGATTTGATGTGGGGAACACTTTTTCATATTTTCCCACTCTAGACAGTAGAAATAAAAATTGGATTAATGTAGGGAATAATCGAGGCAGTATTGATTAAAACAAAGTCTATTGATAAAGCACCTACTCCTTTTATGACAGAAAATCAAACAAAACATCAAACAAACATGTGGTTTATGTCTTAGATAAAGACTAAAAAGTCAGATGACAGAGTAGCAATTTTTCGTAGTCTTGTAATAATTCAAAACGTTATACGTGTGGTCCTGTCAAAACTTCAGTTTAAATTATTTACTCTTAATCAAGATTTAAAAAAAAATATTTCAAGCTGAATTATCTTCAGAAAAAAATGAAGATTTAGGTGACTTCCAGGTGTGTGGCTTGAGGACAAAAGATACTATAGGTCCAACAATCAATAGTATTGCAAAATGTGTAATGAAGAGGATAGAAATAATGCTAATTAAATATGATAATTTACATATCCAGAATTTTCTCTGACTGTACCTACTAGAACATGAAATCAGGTGACCTATTTCACCAACATAATTTAAAGGAGATAGGAAGCAAAAACTATTAATTGCATTAATAAAGCTAAAGGTCAACTTCTTAAGACATATGCAAAGGAAAAAAAAACAGGTCTGCTTTAGAGAAAATAAAAGTGAACAATAAAACAATGCTGTATGAGTGAGTAGACTTGCATACTCTTTTCATAGGCCAGATAACAAAGGCTATCTTGATAGGAAAAGAACAGTAAAGACTTATGTCTGTATTATTTCACATTTGTTCACTCAGAGATCTTTTCCTTTTAGTAGCACACCATATGGATCACTGTTGGAGAAAGATAGGGAGTTTTTCTTAAGGATGTCTTTATGATGTTAAAGCATAACATATTCATTATTGACCCCTTGTCGCTGTGAAACATTGTATATCATTACCAACTAAATTACAGCTTGAACAACAACAGTTCAATAGCCAGGACTGTAACCAGCTCCTATGGATGAGGTGCAAACACACACACACACAGGGGACTGGGTTTAACAGAACACAAATTGAATCCCATACACCTATGACCTCAGGCATATCTATATAAATACATACATATACATACACCCCCACACCCCCACGTGTGTATTTATGTGTTTTTATATGTCTATAACTATATGCATATATAAACACATAAATAGGCAAACACACATAACACATATATCTTTGTGTCCCTCAGCTAAAGATCAGTGGCAGAATATAAACTCAATGAACTAGAATACCTTTCACAACCCTAGGTGACAGACAAAGAAAGCAAAATATTAAACTTCTGTTACTGTTGTTAGTTCCCTCTATGCTAAACAGTGGATTGCTTTGTATGTTTGTCTGTGTGACTCTTTCTGTCTGTCAGATTCCCTCCCATGAGAGGTACACTCATTACAAAAGGACAGAATGAGAGCTTGACATGGCAGAAACTATCAAAAAGCAAAAACTATTTGCTGTGTTGCTTTCCTCAGCTTAGCATGCAGCCCAATCTGTGTGTGAAATTATGGTTATAAAATCTGCATAGTGATTGGTAATGTATTCAAAATTTGGGAAGTTATGGTATTCAATTGTCCTAGTAAATAACACTGCAAAGCTGGAGAGCTTCACAGCTGGATGTATAAATTACAAAGGTGGATAAACCAAGAGTGCATCTTTACTAAAAAAATTTTAACAAGCCAGTCAGAACTCAGCATGTCTATTGGCTATTAAATCATGTAACTTTATCTGTGAACAGCTCAACAATGTAAATATAAGTATTTTCTACTGCATCAACTCAGCAAATCAGAACTGGCTTTATGGTCAAAAACTCATAACAATTTAAGGTCAAATAATCAATTCACAAGTGAACAGGAAATCAAGTTTAAATAAGTGGTATTGTAACAGTTTTTGCAGTTAGAAAATAGTTCTGCTGCTCCTAAATAGCATCATACAGATTTAGTTGACCAGACATTGGAGTTTCAGTGTTCCTGTCCATCACTCCTCCTTTTGGCTTCACAGGGCACAAAAAGCAGATATGGAAATTGTTTGTAAAGCACGATGGGGGAGAAAGTACTGAGTTAATTCTGAAGAAAAGAAACCAGATACATGAGAAAAGAATGGTATGGTTAGGTCAACTGACAAACTAGTAATCTTAGTTGTCAGGTTAGGTTCACAGTTTACTCAAAGACATGTTTTATCAGATTTGCTCATGAATTTGCTACAGGTCTGTACTGGGAGCTGCTTTAATCACTGTTTAGAAGAAAGATACAGAACAAGAAGTATGTGAAATGTGCATATACCTTCTCAGAAGATACCTCTGCAATTTTTCAGACACTTTTCCTGTTTTAGATCAGTGTGCTAAGGGGATGGTTAAACTCAGATGATGTAACTTCTTACGACCTTCCTCTTCCTAGTCCTCATTTATAGAATCAAATTTACTTTAAGGATTTTATTAAGTTTGAAATTTTGTTATAATTTTTTTTTCTCTTACTATGCCCTTTGGAAAAGAATTGGAGAGTGCAATTTGATCAAAGCTCTGAAACTGATTTAAGAAAATAAAGTAAAATGCTGTAGTTGCTTAGAAATGTATACAATTTTGGCTCCAATACTGAATATCCTTTGTCATTGAATGATTAATGAACATATACTGTTTTTTTTACTGCAGGAAATTAAGGCAGTAAATACAAGCACTACCACTTCTATTTATCAGAGAAGATTCTATAAAGACAAAGCAAAAAATCTGATATGACAACAGAGAACAAAGAATCATTTTATAAATTCTTTGATGTTTTAGCAATACCAAGTAGGTGGTTTAAAATGATATGTTATATGCATAAGAATTATCTGACATGAAAAGGCAATTAAGTAAATTATGGTGTAAAAGCCAAAATCCCAAAAGCTTTTGGTAAGACAGAAAAAGGAAGGGATACAGGGGAAAAAGCTCTGCAGAGCTCTGGTTCTGCACAGAGGCTTTCAGGAGTCAGACCTTCATAGGAAAGTATCTCTGGATAAGGCTAAGTAAAAGTAGTATTGACAAGACACCTCTAATAAAGTACAAATAAATCAAAAGAATGGAAACTTTTACAACAATACTGTAGGTAATTTTTTTGGGGGGGGGGGTGGAGGATGAATTTCAGATCCGGTATCACAGGACATTCTACCTACCTCTGGCTATTACTGGTCCTATGCCAAATTTCATTACAGATAAATATCAGCAGTGTCTAATTTCCAAATTTTGTACTCTGTATCCCATTTGTCAATAAATTTTCATTTTTTGCATTTCAGTATTTGTTCTAATGTAAACAACACTAATTACTCTGAACAGGCATAAACCCCATAAATACAAAATTGTAGAAAGATCACAAATTTAAGGTAGATATGCTTAGCCATACAGACTTAACAATACCAGTTGGAACCAGCAGCTAACCATTTTGCTTTATTTTTTGCCTCAGTATCTATAAGATTGCATGTTCTTCTCTAGTTAGTCTTCACTACCTTAATTCTTTCTAAATAGAAATCACATTTTATTTATCAGAGACACAATAAAAGGATCTTTGTAAAGTTCTGAGAAAGGATTACTGAAATATTAGGTTTCTAAGCAACGCAGTCTTTAGTACATCTTCACTAATTTTTCTTTAAAACGCTGCATTACAACCTTAACCATCCCACCTTAATCTTCCTTCATGTGAATGTAAGAAGCTGCAAAAACTTCAGAAAAAATTACACAGTCAAGTAATGAAAAAAACAATTAAAACTCTTCCTAAGTGTTGCATTTTCTCCAAGTGATAGTGTTCACAGGTACAAATTGCAGCTTTGAATTACTTAAGTAATATGATCCTTTGGGTATAAATTCCTTCCAGTTCTTTCAGAACTTAAAGTGGTATTTCTAATGCCAATATATGAAGGCTAATTGTGGAAAGAAGATTTTTATTTCAGTTCTCAAAGCTAATAATTTGAATTCTTCCTTGTGTCTTTCTTTCTCTCTATGTTAATGTGAGATGATGATGATGAAGAAGAAGAAAAGGTTGCTAGACCAATGTCATCACCTGCACTATTTTTATGGCCATTTTAGCCTATGTTAAGATGGACAGTGTGTGTGTCTGCTGACGGACTAAACAGTTGCTGACTGACTAAACAGTTAAAAATATGAGCTGTTAGAAGGACAAAAAACAACCAGCTAAATAACTAAACCACCATCTCAATAACTAAAACCTTGATTTTATGGAAAGGTGAATCTTTTAGGTGTCTTTAATTGCAGTACTTGATGCAGAAATGAAATACTGGTTTGACTTTTGAAATATATTACCAGTTATTTTCTTTTTCTTTCTCTTTTAATGTATCCACTTCCATATAAAAGAACTGTTTAAAATTTCTGATACAAGTATTTAGCCTAAATTGTTTCAATCTCAACTGAAAGTATTCTACTATTTTATCAAGCCTTACACAACTTTTCCAAGCAATAACTAACCTCTAATCATAATCTAAATGGAGTTCACTCCAACTTCACAGTTTTACAAGTTTTTCTTCCCCTTCTTTGAATTTCTTTAACAACTGAAGTTTCCTTTACCTTTAGCTATTAAGAAATGTGCAACAGCAAATTTGCCCCTGCAAAAAATCTGAATGGTGAAGGATGTGTCCCAGACCCCAGCTGCCCCCACCTCAAACTTGTGCTGCCCTGACAGTCCCAAGGGAGTCCTACAAACTGACATCAGGAACCTGGGCTGCTGAATTTGCTTTCACAAGGTAGATATCCTTCATTCATGGCCAGGGCCCTGCACTCCCCCTGGGGTGTCAGGCTCTGAGTGGCCTTTTGCCTCCTCAGTGTCCAAACGGCGCAGAATTTCTCCCAGAACAAATCTGCCACCCCCAAGTACTCTCCCATAATACTCTGCATTTTCAGCGGGCATCCTGTCTGACCCTCATCCTGACACTAAAAATGCACCAAGGAATTCTAAAATAGCCTTAGGAAGGTGTAACAATACTCTGAAAGACACCAGAAAAGTCCTAAAAAGCCTTCAGAAATCCCCTAAATATTCCTAATAGTCCTGCAAAAAAAACTCAAGGAAGCCTGCTCAGCCTCCGAACCCTTCCTGTTGTTCTCTAGCCCACAGATGTCATCCCTACCTTTTTGGCAGCGGGTCCTGTTGTCCTCTGAGGGTTCTGGCATTGTCCTGGTGCGAGGGTCGCTGCCCTGTCCCAGCGGGAGGGTTCCGGTGTGGTCTCGCTGTCAGGCTCGCTCTGCTGTGCTGCTGTTGTTAGGGGTGAAAAGGGAAAAGGCTGCTTAGGGTGAGGTTAGGGCTGGGGTGAGGGGTGCTGCACCTGTACCCTAATTTGCCTCCTAAGCTGTACCCTGTAGCCCTGATCTCCACTGGACTGTCCAGCCCTCAAACCCTCCCTCTGCCCCCCAGCCCTCAGGCCCTGGGTGTCACCCTCGAGCCCCCTTTGCCCCTCAAGCCCCCTCTCAGATCCTGTGTGCCACCCTTAATCCCTCTCCTTTGCCCCTCAGCCCCCAGATTCTCTGTGTCACCCTCCAGCTGCCCCTGTCCCCCTCAGCATCTCCCTGTGTCACCCACTGTCCCCTCCCCCTGTTCCTCCCTCAGCTCCCAGCCTGTCACCCTCAAGCCCACACAGTGCCCCTCAAGCTGCCCCTCAGCCTCTATGCCATGAAAAGACCCTAAAAAACCATAAAAATGCCCTAAAAAACCCTCCTCTTCCAAATGTCCTAAAAACCCCCACAAAAACATGAAAATAGCCTCAGAATACCCTTAAAATACAATAAAAATACCCTACTTTAAAAAAACCCTAAAACATCCCCAAAGAACCTTTAAAAAACCCCTAAATATTCTTAAAAGAGCTCTAAAATAGCCCCAAAATCCTTAACAAACACTGATAAGACCCTAAAAAACATAAAAGTTCTCTCAAAAAACCTAAAAATACCCTAGTCCTAAGAGTCCTCCACATACCCCCAGTAGTCCTAAAAAAGCCCTAAAAATTTTTAAATAGTCCTAAAAAAGCCCCAAGAACACCTAATAAAAACGCCTAAAATTTCTAATTAGTACTAAGAAAGCTCTTAAAATACCTTAAAAAAAATCTTTAAAAAGCCCTAAAATGCCCTAAAAGTATCCTAAATGTTCCCAGAAAATTCCTAAAAAGGTCCTGTGAGAAAACCCCTCAAATATCCTTTAAAAACACTAAAAAATAAAAGCCAAAAAAAGTGCCCAGTCCCCAGCCTCTACCAGTTGCTCTCTGGCCAGCAAACATCATCCCTACCTTTTAATTAGGGTCAGTGCCTGCAGCTGCTGTTGGGGAAAACTGGTGTTCTAGGGGTGCTGTTTGGGGTGAGCTTAGGGCTGTGGTGGGGGCTGCTGCTGTACCCTAACCCTTCCTGGTACCCTGTGTCCTGTCCTTTGCACTCCCTGACCAAAGCTGCAGCAAAATACAATTCTGGTTGCCGGGGCAATGCCAAAAACCTGCTGCAAACTGACATCAGAAACCCGGGCTGGTGAGTTTTCTTACCCAAAGAAAAGGGCGGGTGGTTGTGTTCAGGGCTCTATGGCCCTGAGGGGGAGGCTGACTGCAAAAAAACGAACAGCAAAGGATGTGTCCCTAAAAAAATCCACCAGAAATATACCCATGTTCCCAAAAATAAAACTACTAAAAAACAACAACAAAATACATCAAACTAAAAAAAAAAAAAAAAACCAAACCAAAAACTTATATCAAGAAAAACAAAATAATTATTCCAAAGTCAATAAACCCATAATGCCTCAAACCATCAAAACAAAAATACCACCTAGAAATAAACATGTTGCCAAAAGGCAAATGTAACCACAAACAATATCTCCCAAATTCTCTCCAACAATAAAACATACTTGGCAATCAAATAAGCCAAATTAAAAAAAACCCCTAAAACATAATAAACAAGAATGCAATCATCAATATTAAAAAAAACCTCACAAATTAACAATAGGACACTACCTCAAGCCCACCAAAACAAACACTACGCACTCACGCTAATAAAAGCCTCCACAACCGAATTAAAAAGCTACCCTCTACTTCATGCTACGAACCATAAAAACCATTGTAAATTTTTAAAAACACATCCTGTAAAAACATAAGAAACGATCAAAAAGATATTCAACAACAAACTCAATCTAAAAAAAAATCCTTGTCACCAGCACCTGAAGCAAGAACCGTAACAACCAAAAAGTGCCCCACGGCACTTCTCCTACACCAACTATGGACAAAAGAAGAAGATCCAGTAAGTTCCTCAAACCCACCGCAGCAAGGAAGGCTGGAAGATGAGAAGCCGCGCTCCCGGCAGGAAAGCGGCTCCTCCGGCAGGCAGAGGCGGCGCCGCGCCGGGAGACCCCCGCCCGCTCCCCCCGGCCCAGCGGGGCCGGCACCGGGCCCGGGGGCCCCGGCGGCGCCCGAGCCCGGCGCCCGGAGCGGATGGAGCGCCCGGAGCGGACGGCACCGGCGCAGCGCCCGCGCCGCCTGCCCCGCCCGCCGGCCCGGCCAAAGCTCCCCTCGGCTCCGCACGGCTCGCACCGGCGCGGCTCCGGCAGTCCCGCGGCAGCCCAGCCGCGCCAAACTCCCCTCCCGCCTCGGCCATCCCCGGCCACTGCCAGCGGGGCTCCCGCGCCGGACCCTTCGCTGCCGGGCCAGGGGCAGAAGAAGCGCCCCAAATGCAGCGGCACAGCCCCATGCCCACCCTGCCAGCGCTGCCACAGCCGCGCCTCCCTTCCTTTGAAGCCCCGAAACTGACACCACGCTCGGGTGCACACCTCACTTCAACGAGGGCAAAGAAATGTGGGCTCCCCTTCCATCGCATCCCCTAGAAGAGCAGAGAAGCTGCTTTCCTCAAATGATGGCAAAGGGGGCTTTTTACCTCACTCCAAACCCTTTAAAAGGCGAGACAACAGAACTACCCTTCCATTTCAACCTCAGGATGATGAAATGGGGGTTAATTCAAACCCAGAAAGGGACTCCTCCGCAACAAGAAAGGTTTAGGAGTGTAAGGTTACATGCTTAGGGTTCTTAGGTCACCCCTCTATATCTATGGACTGAGAGGCCTCAAACTCTACATTAAGAATTCAGTTTTGTCATTCTATCACAATTCTATCACAAACCTGTGGGTGTCTAGGCAAGACCCGAGATGAAAACTTAAAAATATTTTTGACCAAGGATAAAGGGACTTCCCGTGTAAAGGTGCAACAGGGAAAAACACCCCACAATGCCAGTTTTTATCCCTGAGTTTCAGGTTATTACTAGAACACAAAATATTGCAAAATCCAGAAAACTCCCTACTTGAAATAATCCCTTTGTCTGTCAGCCTGTGCTGTGCTATGAATATTCCGGAGGCTTCCTGCTGTAGACAACAACAAGCTAGGATTCAATATCCACACATAACAAAATATGGCTGCTAGAGATGACCAAGGCACTGTTTAGAGCCTTTTGCAAGTCAAAATTCCTTACATCTCCCTAATCCTAGGATTTTGATGGCTGAGCACTTATTAAGATCTAAGACATCAGGCAACATGCTGAAGCAGGAATTAGTGAGATCTTTATTATTAGTGGAATCTGAGAGCTTTGGGGAGTCTAAGGTGCCAGGCAATCTTTGTGGTAACACCTAATTTTCAGTTTCAGCTTTTTCAAATAACTTCCTCAGATGGCAGAGATAAATATTAAGAGATGGGACAAAAAAAAAAAAAAAAAAAAAAAAAAAAAAAAAAAAAAGCCCTGACACTCATATTCACAGCAAAGAGGGAGAATTGTTTAGGAAGAAACAGAGACCAGAATATTTCATGTATCCCCTGAGATTTTGTATAAGTTGAAATAAACACAATTCAGTTACCTGCTGTGTGTTCACTGGGTCTCTCTCTCAGATGCTGGTGTCTGATGAAGTTAGAGCTCACACTGAAGTTACTTCCACGCTCTGAATGCCTACAGGGCTTCTCATCTGTATGGACTCTCTGATGCAGCAGCAGAGCTGTGTTCCCACTGAAGTTCTTTCTGCACACGGGGCAGGAAAATATTTTATTTTTCAGATGGCTTTTGTGGTGGGCAAGGAGGCTCGAGGCACGGCTGAAGGTCTTCTCACATTCCTTGCACTTGTAAGGCCTCTCCCCTGTATGGACTCTCTGGTGAACCACCAGGTAGTCCTTCCTGCTGAAGCTCTTCCCACATTCTGCACACACAAACACCTTTTCTCTGGTGGATCAGGAGCCTGCAGTGCCCCTTGAAGCCTTTCCCACATTCTGGACAAGTGAAGGGCTTCTCTGCAGAGCACAGTTTCTGGCCACCAGCGCCAAGGATGACTTTCCTCTCCACGAAGGGACACATCACAGGCTGCCCCCCGCTCTGGGCTCTGCACTTCAAGTAGCTGAGGCAGCTCCTCTTGCTTCAGGTTTTCAGGAAAGCCTTTCTCCTCCTCCTCACTGTCCCCCAAAACACAGTCCCCTGATGGAGTAAGAGACCCATCTTAACACTCCTCGTTCCCTGAGGAGGCTGCTCTTGTAAAATAATTTCTCAGACCTACCTTCAGCTTACACCAGATTCCCTTTTCCCAAAGAGGAATGGAAATTCCAAAGACTGAGACAAGAAGGGGGAGGAAAATAGCAAAGGGAAGAAATGTTCCTCTTCTCTTCCTTCCTCTCCCCATTTCCTTGTACTTCCCTTCAGAGAATGGCAAAATAAAGACTGCCAAGATGAAGGGAAGAAAGGAATATGCTGAAGCATCTCACCCATCCCAAATATTTACATTTAGCTATTTGTTCCTGCAGACTTAGCTCAAAAGGTTTCCAGCCTGCCAAATTATCATTAACAAACTGTTTCAAAGCTGGGCATTTGGGTGGGGATATTTCAGCACAAAAGAGCCCATGCAACCTTTGCTAGGCAAGGCCAGCAGGGAGATTTAGGTTGTTTCTCACTTGTGCTAGTTCGTATTTACGAGAAAACAGTTAAATTATGTCTTTTGTAGGTTGGCACACCAGTTTTTTTTCTCTATCACAACTATAGTTCTAAGTACTATAAGGATACTGTATATTTATTCATCAGAAGTCAAAGAGCTCTTTATTGATAAAAAAAAAAATCAGCTAATTCCCGATTAACTATTACAATCTCTTTTCATAGCTAGATCTAACACAACATTTACTTTCCTCGCAATGACAAGCCAAATAAATTGCATTGACAAAACTCACCAGAAACACTCAAAGATGTCCATTTCCTTCCTAAAGAATGCAACCTGTTCATTTCACAAGTGTATATGCACCATCACACACCCCACAGTAAGCTCTAGGTATCTTATCCAGATGGGTGATCTTACATTTACACCTGTTCAGCAACAACAGAATTATAAGGATCACCTAATAAACACTTAGCCAAGGCTGATTTTTGCAAGCTGGTGCTTGCACTAAACTAAGGCGATTCTTTTGTTTAACTTCTGGTTTTCAGGTCATTTCCCCTTATTTGTCAGGATAAATTTTGGTTTGGGAAGATCTGGATTCCGTGATCCTTGCAGGTCCCTCCCAGCTCGGGATATTCTGTAAGTCGATGATGTGACTTTGTTTTATGGCAGTCTCAGGTGCTGCTCATTGAGCAGATTGAGCTTTTCCCTTTCTGCAGCTGTGTGCTTTGGAGGACAGAGGTATCCCATCCACAGTAACAGCCAGTATTTTGCAATAAAACAGGATTATTTTTCCTGGCCTTCAAAGTCCATAAATGTGAATGAGCTTGTTGCATTAGATGCTGTTGGTTGTCAATAGACCTTTATGCAGCACCCTAATAAATCACATTACAGCAAGGTCTGTTTTTCCCTGCAGGAAAATATGGAAGCCTGGATTAACTGACTTCAACATAGTAGAAGTTGGTGTAAGATTAATTTACCACTATCTAAATTAATCTGGCCTATAGACATTGAAGTGATGAGTGACATAGAACAATTAGTTAAGAAAGGAATGATTTTCTTGGCCCAGCAGAGCTTGAACTATGTGTCATGATAGCTTGTAAGACCACCTTGTAATTGAGGTGCAAAAAAGATTGTGAAGAGTTTTCTCACTCGTCCCTCAAGTTCACTAAACAAAGCAGTGGGTCTTCATGCAAAAATAGTGTGTAAGTAATAAAAGAGCCTGTTATAATACATGAGTAGGTTAGAACACATTGCTATGGCATTTCATAATTACAAATTCTTGAGTTTGGAAAACTAATAATAATCATTTATATAAAATTCTTTCAAGACTGTATCTCAGATTAGGCAAGTCCATGTTAGATGTCCGTGCAAGTATTTTTAATTTGAAAGACATAATTTTCACTAACTTAAGTAGGAGCCTTGGGTTTCAATTTAACAGGAATATTCTGAGTTCTAACTAGCCCTGTCCCCTGCACTGTTCACAGCCTTCCCACCTTGAGGTCAAGGTTTTAAAGACAGAGCCTACCTCTATCCCAGCATTCAGATCCTTAATAAACCTGTTGAATCCTCTCATCTGGGGTTACACATAATATAATTTCCCAGGTTAACACTGACTTGCAAATAAGTATTGTGATTTTCTGTCAGGTTTTGCATTAATTTTGCAGTGTTCTTGCCTCAGCTTATTAGTGAGAATGATCATGTGAGATAAAAACCTTTTAAAGCACAGACTGTATGCCATCTCCAACTCCTCTGCTTTTAACAATGCCTCTCACTCTATTGTAAGAGAAAATTTGATGTGACATAATTTGCCTTTGGAATTCCACACTATTATTCTTTTCCTTTTTAACTACTGTGTGACTGCTGAGTATTGTTCTTGTACTGAAGTCAGGCTCACTAAAAATAGTTCCCACATTCTTGTCCTCTTGCATTTCCTTTGTCTTCTCCAAACTTGTCCATCTTTCCTGACCTCTCCTGGATATCTACCAGCCTACCTCAGCTTGCTCCAGCCTATAGGTGACAGTAAAAAAAATCTAAATTAAGTACTCTGTAACCTCTGCTCTGTCTGCTCTGAGTTCTTACCCTTTTGATGCTAATCTTCTGTTTATTACATAAATTATGCTAATCCTTCTAGCAAAGACACAGATTTTTTTTTTCCCCTCTGTTGTCTTCCAGTCAATAACATTATAGAACGTTTTTGGACTGTTCTGTGTTCCAGTTAGTTAGTTGCTTGGCTATGCTTTATTTCTTTTCTTTTTTTTAATACATTATCTTATGTAATCTGACCTACTTGTCACCTCTGTGCCATTCCGGTTCATGATTTCCAACCAGTAGGGAAATTTGTGGTTTGTCAGATTTACTCTCTTAACCTTTTTTTTTCCCCTTCCTCTAGTTGGAGACAGTACATTCTTTAGCAACTCCTTAAAGGACATTTAGGTGCCCATCTTCCCACAGGCTGTTCTCCAGGGGATTTATCTGCCTTGGGATATTACTGCTGGTTCTCTGAGACTGCAGACACCCACTTTCTGGAAATACAGTCCTTTCCTTTGTGGTGGGTATCCAGTTCTTACCATCTCTTCAGCAGAAGTGAGGAACAGGATTTTGATTTGCTTTTTGTGCCCTGGGGTAGTGGATGTTGCCTGGGATCTTTTCTTTCAGTATTTTGTCTCACTTCTGCTAAGGTAAAATACTTGTATTCCACAGTTATCAAAGGATCACTGATGTTGGAATAGACCTCCAAGGAAATAAGCAAAACTTATCAATTCTTCAGATCCATATTCATCACAGGACACAGCACTTCCAAATAAAATGCCAAATGCTGTAATAGAGCAAGCTGTAAACAAAAATTTCTCAGCAGATAAATTCTTGCTTTACATACCAAAATATATTTACCATTTTGTATTGATCATCAACTGATTTCATGCTTTCTAAGGCTAAACAGTATCTTAATTAGAAAAAATACTAATAGAAGATAGCTGGAATTTACTGTATATTAAATTCTAGCTAGTTCCTTTGCTTGCTTTCACATTCTTATTGTCAGTAATTATGAAAATGAAGACTAGGAAAACAATTTTTTTTTCTGGAAATATTATTCTCACCATAATGCCAAAGATTAAAGAATTAATAAAATAATGGAATTGTTGCTTTTATTATCCCACCGCTAGGATTGTCATCCATCAGATGCCTAAACTCACATCCTCTCTCCCAGCTCTGACTGCAGAGTGCCAAACTTGTCCCTCACTTACCTTTTCAAGCTAATTTACCTCATTAGTCTGCTCACTGCTGAATTTGCCCTTGCTGACTCAATCTTACCTGGCAGCCCTTTATTTATCAATAAAGCTTTCCCAGAGGTGTTAAGTGGTAGCAATCTTCCCACGGGCAGCTGACATTTCTCTTTCCCCTTGTCACGTCAGACTCAGCTGGGGGGGGGGGAAGTAACAAAATGTGCTAAAATGATCAATAATCATGGATTGTGAAGAGAAGACACAACTTCCCCTTAAACCTAGTGTTGCATAAACACAGTCATTGTTGAGCAGGTTAATGCTGTTCACACTTTCAAGCAGCCAGTTTTATTTTATTACTCTGCAATTACAGTTGTGTTTTTACTGTCTGTTGTTTTAAATTTTTCATTTGTTCCTCCAGTTCCACAATGCCTCCATTTTTAAAAGCCTGAGGCAAAGAGAATGATACATTTAAATTCACCTGCCTCTCTCTGCAAGATTGTGCCATGCTATAAACCTTCTATTACTTTCTGGTCAAAACCCAGCTGCCAGAGGTTCTGGGGGTACTTGCCTGAATTTTGGGGGCTCTTCAGTGTCTTGCACAGCAAATACTTGGTGACAAATGACAGTGGCAAAAGATCGGTGCTATCAGTAGCAAAATATCAGTCTTTGTGTGCCTCAGATCTTGCCTAATTAATGATACAAATAGTTACAACCTTTTTACAAACATTTTTGCTGCCATTTTCACCAGCCCCGCTTTCTCTAGCCAGTTTATATAGGTCTAATCCAATGAATTATGTTTCATTGATCAAGGAACACCAAGGTATTCTCTGGAGTGGTTATGAATCCTAGTTGGAGAGGAGGAGCTTGCAGTGAGAACTAAATACAGAAAAACAGAAATACAGAAAGTCAGGACCCATGCTGAGGTGGGAATTCCTGTTTGAAAGCCCTCTGCAAAGCTCTCCCATACCTTGTTCAGGGAAATCATGGATCACATTGGCAGCTCCAGAGCTGTTGTCTTGATCCCCTCTTGCCTACTCTTCTTTTACAGAAGATGCATTTCTTTGCTGTGGCTTTTACACCTGGGGCTGGGTGTTACTTGCTGCTTCCCTGGAAGGAGCAGGCAGGCAGGAATTTGTGCAGGCAGCTGCAGGAATTTGTATCATCAAGGCACCTGTGGCAAGGGAAGAAGATGAGTGTGTGGCCCTCTCCTGGCTCCGAGTTAATTCAGCTTCCCCTGCTGTGGTATCCCATTCCATAGGTAGGGCATGAGTCCAGAAATCCAATTTATCCACAGCACATTTCACAGCCAAATAATCCTGCAAGTTAGGAACTGGGAACTATGGGTTCAGTTCTTAATGAACACCAGTTGTCCTTAACTGAGGGAGACAGGGAAAATTAAAAATTGGCTGGGATGCCTTCCCTTGAGGCCTGGTGCTTATTTTGTGTGACCTGCAGTGTTATCAGCTAAGGGTTCATCTTACTTTACATCATTTTCCTCCCCCTCTATTTTTGCTTCCCTTAAAATATGAAAATTATTGCAATTTTCCTCATTTATTTATTTATTGTTTTCCTTAATAATACTGGGCAATTAGAATACCAGAAGAAAAGCTTTAAATATTGAAGACTGCAGGTTGACCTTAAAATCTGTTCCTTGAAAAGAATTTGAACTTTCTTACTGATGGCTTTAATTTGTTGATGCATCTCAATGGAAAATAGATTTTTTTTTTCTCCATAAAGATCACATTTACATATAAAAAAAATGGAAAATTATATTTTAAGGAAAGATTTGCTAACAAAATGAAAGTGGTATCTTTGATGTATGCCCTAGGTTTCAGGATTAGAAATCATTTTCATTAAGCAAAGGGTCATGATAATGCTGTTCCTTTTCCACTCATTGAAGTCTGCTATATTGCAAGGAAGTGAGAGAGAATTACTAGATGTCATCTACTCTTGCCTGACAGAAAACTAACATAATGAGGTGAGGTCTCTATACTTAAAAAGTGAAAATTTGGGATAATATACTCAGGTACAAATGGGATATTGTTGTTGGCGGGGTTGCTCCCAATTTTCCTTTGCTGCAGACTTGTCCCTCTGAGTTTCCACAGGATGCTCAGCACAGCAGGACCTTTCAGTCTTCTGCAGCGGGGTTAAAAGTCTCACTACTGCAGCCTTTAAAATCTGTGCTTCCCTCCTGCAGGTGGGGCTGCCGTTCCACCGACAGCTGTGCTGCAGATGTGGGCAGATGTGCTGGGCAGGCAGCCTCTGCTCAACTGCACTGGCCACCAAGTAACCACCCCCTCTAGCAAACTGAGCAATGCCAAGTGACCATAGCTTTAAAATATTTTGTTTTATTAAATGTTTCAAATAACATAAACATCATATTAACAATTTTATGGCTGAGATTCACGCAATTTGTGGTTTGACCGTTTTATCTGATTTGAGAGCTCAAAAGGTTATGCCTTAACATTAGAAACTCTGTAATTAAGATTTATAACAGGAAGTTGTCTTGCAGCTAACAAGAGGATAGAAATAGCAGATAGAACCGTAGAAACTCTGGACAGTGGGAGAGTACATATTTTACTATAAACTGGGGTCTGCCAAGATCATGTAAGGACAAGAAACCTTTTGTAAGTGGCTTCATGTTCATCTGAAAAAACAATTAATAGTTGGCTTTTAAGCAATAGAGAAAACAGGATAGTACATCTTTAATTATTCCCCAAATATGCTTTATTTTCTGGATTTTAATTCTAAGTGAATCTGTACCACCTTCACACCAATATTTAGCACCATGTAGTGGGGTGTTCACCACTTACCTTCTGGGGAATGTTATTTGCTCTGTGCTAGAATAAGGGGTCCAACTGTACTAAAGTTGTACTGAAAGTTCATCCTTGCTTTCAGCGGGAGAAGTCAATGCTGGAAGAGCAACAGCATGCTTTCAACCATGAAGCTGTAGCTTATTTACAAACAAAAGGATGCCCCCCCTCCCTCTTTTCCCAGTTGCTTATTCATGATAATGACTCGATTAACAGCTACATGTTAGGTTCCTTTTACACTGGAGACAGGAGGGTTTTTCATCACTTTGTGGTAAACTGAAGTGGAACAGGGCACTCCAAACAAGCACAGCCTGGCACTTCAGGATGAGCTCCACTGCTTTTACCAGGTTGTCTGGTGCTGGAAGATGCAGCTGTATGCACAGGCAGATGTACTGATGTTTCCTTAGAAAATGTAAAAGAACACATTTCTGCAGGAGGTGGGTAATGGGTCAACAATCTGTGATTTATCAGTGGGTCTGTTACCTCTCTCTCCCTACTGTGGAAAAAATTGTTTCTTAACATGGAACAAAGGAGGGTGGAGGGGTAAGAAATTAAATTTTTTTAGTAACAGACATGCTGGAGATAAATAGCTTTGGTTGTTGTTCAAAAGGCAGTTAAAACACAGATTAACTGTAGGGATTTGTTGTGGTTTGTTTTGTCATCGCTATTTAATTAAAAAAAGATACTTGTTAATTGCAAGCTTCTGCCCATTGCTGATGGTGAAATGATATTCAGTGTTTTCTTTCAGGTATCTTCCCCAAGGCTTGGGTTTCTTCAGAGCACAAACAAATCCACTGAGGAGCACAAGGTAAACCATTGAACATCAGCTGCTGCTTGAGATGAAAACAAGTTCTTATGCCCCGCTCCCCACAATGACAGTCACAACTGGCACTCAAGGGCCACTGCCACACTTCAACCCCTGCACTGAGCCTTTCTGAAATACGTCTGTGCTTTCAGACAATCAGCTGGAAACATCTCAGGCCACAAGGAAATGGAGTAAAGATTCAAGTTCCCCTTCATGTTACGTGTGTGTTAAAACAAGCTAACAGCTTGATCCTCCCCAGGCAAGGCCAGAGCTCTGGAGCCAGCTGCTGGCAATGCTGCATGAACTATGAAAGGTCTCCAGAAGAGCAGACACCATCTGCAACAGCTCTGCTTTTCCAACCCAAACAACTCCTGCTGTTTTTTCAGGGCTGAGTAGCTTTTCTGCGGCTGTTTCCTCCAGCAAAATGCTGAAGAGCCTTAAAATGTCATACCAGCACTGTTCTGAGTGCAGCACCTTTTTGTGTGCTCAGAAAACCAGGTCGGGATATGCTCAAGGGAGCAAAAAATACACCTCAGACTTGTGGGGACAATACAGCCTGTGCACACAACCGTGAATGCCTACAGGCATATTGTGAGGAATGCCTGGCATTAGTAGGGAAGGGGGGAAAAAAGGTCTTTTTACTTTACCTTTCGCTTTACTCTCAGGAGAGCTGACTGATGTTGTTGTAGCAGCTCTGCACCTTTGACTTTTCTGAAACCCAAGCTTTTGTCTATCACGTGCACAGCTCAAGACTTATGATCCCCTTTACTGTTGCTTCTCTTTGTCCATAAGGCAGGCACTTAAAAAGACTTTCAGCATAAGTGTTGAAATTATTTCCTGATGTTTGAATGGAAGTTTGTTTCAAAGTGATCTACAGCTTTGGTTTGCTTTGTGTTTTAGCCTTTCCTATGAGGACTGCAAGCTGCCTGATGACCAGATGATTTAAGTGAGGGAATGCACACTTCCTGGAGGAATCCCTGCAGCAACCTGCCTCAGCCCCACCAAGGCAGCAAAGTACAGCACCACAACTTTCCCCAAAATATTGCTGTGGCAGCACTGGGCAGGGAACGTTGGTCCCCAGCCCCTGAATGCACAGCTCCAGGTATCCCAGGTGGTGACATGGGCACAGATGCCCTGAAGCTGGAGAAGACATGCCCAACAACCAGTTCCACTACAGGAAGCACATTTCCAAGGCAAGAGCTCTAGAATTTGCACCTTTGTAAACTGGGTGCTCGACCTATTTAAGCACAGATCAAAAGCAGTTTGTGACAAACACAGAGGTCTGTGGCAGACAATGCCAGAGCCCTGCCATCCTGGACGCCACATTTCTGGTCAGGTTCTGCTGCAGGCACCCTTTGGCACTTGCTTGGAATCAGACCTCTGGGGCACACGGGGCAAGATTAATTCCTTGAACCTCTAGAAAGATTTCTGAACCAGCCTGAAGTGCTCAGATATAAATACACTGACATACTGTGCTCTTACCTTCACTACCAAAAGCACGTATAATTTTTGAAGAATGCCAGGTTTGTAAATTCTCTGCTCTTCTCAGCTCACCAAAGAACAACTGTGTCACTGTTGTGTTTTTTGTATAGCATTGCTTTTTCAGGCATGACACAAAATTAGAGAAACTGGGTGCTGCATTGAAGACTGATCATCTTAAAAGTGTTTATTCAGTATTATCTGAATAAATAATATTTCGGTGTAAGATTTGACTCTGAAAATCTGACAAGGCAGTAAGTTTTTTGCTGTTGTTGCACCAGCTACTTTCAAGAAGGCTCTCTCTCTCTCTGCCCCCACAGGAATTTACAATTCACTACAAGAAACAAGGATCTCCAACAGCCATGAGCATGGGGAAGTTCCTTGGCTTCCTTTCTAAGTTGCAATTTAATTCTAAAACTCTGAAAAATCAAATTCTGAAAATTCTAAACTGCAGGACAAAATGTGTTACCTTCACAGTTGCATGACTGTTCTTACAGAGAAGTCAAAGAAACACAGAGCTGCTTAGGTCAGAAAAGACCTTTAAGATCATTAAATCCAACATGTAACGTATTCTCAAGAAAAACAAGTTTCAGACTTTTTAATGCCTCCTGACAGGAATAGCAGCAGAACAGGCCCAATGATGTTTCCTTCATGTGTGTCTTTCACTTTCTTTGCCACAGGAAATTATCAACTACAAAGTGATTTAGCTAAAATGAAAGCCCAGTATCCCGCTGGTTTTAAGCTACAGGGAGAGAGATTTTCTGCAGAGGAAAAAAAGACCCATACTTCAAAAATAATTACAGGTTTTTGTATTCTTCTTCCTATTTTTATGAAGTCTTCTCTTCATTCTCAGGGTTAATACAGCATTTTTCAAGACCCCCAAAATGTCCCAAGCAAATGTGATATATGAAAGACCAGGAATTTTTTAACAGACTGGAACCTTAACCACAGGGAGAAAAGAAGACCTCTCTGTAAGAAAGCAGCTTGTGAGTGAGCAGAGTTAACACAGGTGCATGAATTCTATGTGTGTCTCCAGTTTTGGCTTTAAAGCATCAGTCCTCAGCAGCAATACAAGACAAGATCTGAAAAATGTTCTGTGTGTTCACTGGCCTCATGCGACTGATGTTTCCCCCTCTTAAGTTTTGAAAAACTGAGAAGGTGTAATCTTGTTTTTTTTTTCAGTAAGGTACCATTTCACTGAATGAGAATGAACACACAGCTGCTTTAGGAAGACCTCTTACAGGTAAATTTCCTCAGCTGGGTCTTCTCTGGTGTGCCATCCTTGTCTTCCAAGGTCGTGCTTTAAATTTGCCTCTTTTGGGGAAGATGGGATTAAGATGGCCTAGGGAGAGGTACATGGCAAGACAATGACTTTGGTTAATCCTTACTCTTGCACATCAGACTTTAGAGAAGGGGTCCCAGCTTGACTTTTTCCTAAAGCTTCACTTATGGCTTTAAAAATTGGCCTGGTCCTATGGAAGAAAGACCATGTATTAAAGCATTAGTTAAAATTAAAAAGGTGAGCATGTAACCGTGTACAGTAAGTGCCAGCTGCTGTTGGAGGGAGTGGATTTTTCTGCTACTTTCAGACCCCAATGCCCACAGTTGCTGATTAGAGGAGATGGAGGTCCTTCTGGAAGAGGCTGGTTGCTGATGGATGGCTTCAGTGCCTGAGGGTGCTGGATGCCCTGAAGTAGGACAGGAACTTGTAGCAGAGGCTCACCACAAAGTACCAGATGTTTCGAGCCATCTGCGACCTTGCGATGAAGATGCGCCAGATGATCACCAGGAGGGTGGTGTTGAATGCGTATCGGATGTTCCTCAGCCTGGGAAAGAGGCATCTTATCAGGAAACACACAAACCACGAGAAGCTCACCAGCCCCCTGCATTTCCTACAGGCAATTCAGGAATAAATCTTATTTACGAGCTGACCTCAGACTTTTTGCCACTCCTGTTTTAGTGGAGATGCTGTGCTGGAGTCCTTGGTCTTGCCAAGGACTGTGCTGAAGCTGGAGCACAGTGAATAGTTCATAGAATAGGTGGAATAGCTGTACTGGAATTCACACTTGTTCTGTACTCTCATTTCAAACCAGAGCAAAGTTATATGGAGAGGTTTTTCTTTAGGACAGTCTGTGTCCAATACTTTCTGCCTTGGTTTCATATATACATATATCTCTCACTTGGCAGGATTTGGGGCAGGCTAGAGAACCTGACAGGAGCTGACGAGCAAGGTTCTCTTATTTGGGTGAAACCCTGTCTTTAGAGTTGTGAAGTTACACAGTGATATCATAAATGGTCTTCAGTATTGCAATACTGCAGTACTGGGATATTTTATTTTTGGGGGAAAATGGGTTAGTTTACAGCATCAATTTCAGTGGTATTACTGAATTTTTCAGATTGTAACGATCCCATCATCTTTCTGTCAAGAAAAGGTTCTGCAGTTCTCTAGTTCTCGCTTTCCCAGTGCTTGACCAAGGGAAAAAAGACACCTAAAGACCTCAAGACTTGTTTCATTTTTGTAAGAGCCCTTTTAAGGTAACCTGTATCACTGCATCACAGTACATGGTCTGAGGCAGTCAACAGTCCATTCCTCAGGTCCCTATAAACTTCCTAAAAATGATCCACGAATGATCAACTTGTTTAGGATTCCTTGTTATGACAAACTATCCCCTTATTCTATGTTTGTAAATACTGACAAACTGCTGTGATAAGAAATAAATTCTTTATCTCCATTTTAATCAATTATAATAATAATAATTTTGCAATGTAGCTAAACTTATTTTCCCCAAAGTTAGCCAGGAGCTCTTCTCTTTGTCCCTGGGTGTGACTTACTTGCGTAGATGCTGCTTTGCTGCTGGAATTCCAGCCATGTCCTCATTTAGCAAGTACTTCTTAGCACCTATGCAGTAGCTCTCTATGTACTCTGACCAGTGCAGCTGGCGAACATCGAAGTTGTATAACTAGGATTTAAAGACAAACAGTGAAAGCTGAACACCAGAGTTCAAAACCAGTTCACTTGAAACATCAGTTCTTCATTGATCTCTTTTCCTGACAAGGCCCCCTCTCTGAAATTCTCAAAGCCACTGAGCTCCCAAGCACTGCCACACTGTGTTTCACAGCTGCTGATTAATGTCCCACCCAGCTGGGAATCTGGGCAAAGCAAGCAGAAATGTAGTAGCTGGCAGAAAATAAAGGTGTTTATCTTTCAGGTGGCAACTTTTCCATAAATACATGTATTTGTACACACACACACAGAGAATCATGGAAGAAAAACGGCATTCCACACCAGCAAACAGATTCAAATGAAAACCTCCACACAGTTTTAATGTGTCACTAAAATGATGTGTAAATAAATTAACTGGACATTGATCAACAGGTGCCTCTGCATCAGTGTTACTCTCAGCTGTGCTGCATTCTCTTTTGGCAGCTAGATCAACAGAAGTCCAGGAAATGGATTACTTTGGTGTTTGGCATAAACAAAATCTCGTTGCAGAGCCAACTACCCCAGTTCATTTTCAGTGCTCATACTGGACAAATTGTTAGCAAGCTCTCAGGCAGCTGTCTCTTGGAGCAAAGAAAGGCTTTATAGAGAGGAAAAAGTTTTCACAGACAGGTTGGGTTGTCAGTGACCTGAAAACTTTCTCCTGTAGTACATGGAAATCTCCTGAATAAATAATTTCAGATTAAAATAAATTCCAATCATCTAGATATCATTTAAAAGCTCCAAAATACACCAAAAATAACTGCTGCAGATGAACAGAATCTGAGATTAGCAACCCATATTCAAGATACATTTACCTTTTTGTCCTCTGTGTTAAGGTGAGTCATTAACATATTCATATTATCTGAAGACCAGCTCCAGGACTGGGTGGAGAAATACTGCAGGAGTGTCATAGACTTGTGCAGCCGATTGATAATCTTCATCATTCTGAAACAAAAGGGGAGCATCAGAGGTGAGCAGAAATCTGACCTTATGTAGAAGCTGCTGGTTTGTGTTTCCACCAATCCAGGTGAATAAACATTCCAATTCCTCCTGAGCACTGCCCTGCTACTCAGTAAGCTGAGAACTTGCCCAGCAAGTTCCAACTGCTCCAGCTGAGCTCGATCCTGGAGCCACCCAGCTTTTATTGCTGGCTCCAGCATGGGAGCCAACATCATTGCCACTGGTGTCCAACTCACTGGTCTGACCTAAGGAAGGGCTGGAAGCTGCATACACCTCACGTTCCACTGCTGTGGAGGGAAGAGCCCATCTGACGTGTCATGAAGTCTGCACCACAAGGGTACAGTGCTGCTCTAAGTGCTGTAAGTACAGTGCTGCTGTTCCCAAGGTGGGTACTTCTCTTTCTGCCACAGGAATTTTCTTTTGCTCCCAAGACTGAGTTGTGTACTGAAGCAAGGCTGTGATTTTTGGCATTAGCTCCAGTATTTGGTGACCATATCTGCAGTATGGACACTGAGCTCAGCAGTCATTTGCTCAACTTGTTTTCAGACAGAACCAAAGAATCACAGAGTAGTTTGGGTTGGAAGGGATCTTAAAGATCATCTTGTTCCAACGATGGGCAGGGACACCTTCCACTATCCCAGGTTGCTCCAAACCCCATCCAGCCTGGCCTGGAACACTTCCAGTGGTGGGTCAGCCACAGCTTTGCTGGGTAACCTGTACCAGGGCATCACCACCCTCGTAGGGAAGAATTTCTTCCTATATAATCTAAATGTACTTTTTTTTCAGTTTGAAACCACTTCCCCCTATCCTATGATTATGCTCCATGATAAGATTCCCTCCTCCTCTTTCCCACTGGTCTGCTTAAAGTACTGAAAAACTGTTACCAGGTCTCCTATGTGCCTTTTCTTCTCCAGCCTCAACAGTCCTGGCTCTCCCAACCTGTCCTCACAGGAGAGGTGTTCCACCCCTCTAACCACCTTTATAGCCTCCTCTGGACCCGCTCCAGCAGCTCCATGTCTTTGCTGTCTCGCTTCAGAGGCATAACTGCTTAAATAACTACTTGGGAAATGTAGATTTATGTCCTCTGATGTGTCTTGGCCTTTTCGTACTAATTTTTTTATACAAAAGTGGATGACAGTAATGCTGTCCTAACCTGCAGGATTATTTTAGTTGTCCCAGTGGTCATGAGTAAAAAAGGCCTCTGGCAGTTGTTTTAAAGTGGGATGTACAGGGCTCGGTCAATTCTGAGAAGACACCACATCCTCTCAGACTGGGTAAGGGCAAGAGAAAGCATTACAAGGGCTGATTTTTGTGGAAAACAGAGCTGTTTTCATGCAAAATATTGTGCTGCCCAGGGGGTAACACAGTTGCTGTGACAAATAAAAGGTGGCAGTCTGTGGAGAATGGTGCCAGGCTGGCCTCTCCCCGCACAGACGTGACTGCCACCATGATAAGCACTCAGCAAGACACAATGAGTCCATCAGCTCACAGCAGAACTGTGCAGTTCACCCACAGCAACTGGAAAGAGCACTAAAACCTTAGGCAGGCACTCCTTCTTAAAGTGGCTTTCATTTTAGAAGCAAAGCAGACCATCAGATTAAAGGAACCTTCATTCTGAATAATTATGTGCAGGTCAACTGAATGCAGTTTATCTGAACTGCTTTAAAATTATTTCAGATTAATCCTCCTGTGTAGGGCAAGCACCATGGGGCAAAGCTTTGTGACTATTTTAATACATTTTAGGAATTTGGGAAAAAGAAATGCAGCTAGATTGGAAAGATCTGAAGCCGCCCCTCAAGCTGACTCCCCAAAATCTTTAAAGTGCTTAGGACTAATGGAAACTTACAGAAAAAAGAAAGGATGAGAGAACAAACTCTTCAGTATGTGGAAAAAAATCTTCCCTTTGAGGGTGGAGTGGCCCTGGCAAAAGTTGCCTAGAGAAGCTGTGGCTGCCCCACAAAGTGTCCAAGACCAGGTTGGATGGGGCTCTGAGCAACCTGGGATAGTGGAAGGTGTCCCTGCACATGGCAGGGGTGAAACTAGAGGACCTTAAAGCTTCCTTCCCTTCCAACCCAAACCAGCCTGTGATTCTATGATCTGAAGAGGTGTGTGTGAAAATTGTGTTTCATGTAAACTGTCTGAGCTCAGTTGATGTGACTACATTCAAAACATTGACTAATAATTTCTATGAAGGAAAGGTCTCCTGCAAAACAGCAACTGAGTAGAAACACAGCAAAGATTTCTTACAGGAAATCTCATTTTCCACTGTGCTTTCTACCACATTGCAGCAATACCCAGATGAGCTGAAGTAGTGTGTAAAAAGAAAAGGAGAATTATATTTAAAAAAAAGAAGATTTAGAAAACCCCCAACTTCACTGGTGAGCCATTTTTGCTGAGGCTGCAAATCTTGAAAGTTCAGAAGATCATGCTGAGCTCTGTTTGACATTTAACTACAGCATTGCAGGCAGTGTCCACTGGTTAATTATGCCAATCAGCTTCATGAAAAGAAATGCCAATTGTAATGGCAGTGCCAAGATCTTACTGCTGCCCATTTCAACAAAAATTGGGAGATTCCACCCTAATTTTCAGTTTACCTCAATTTCTAGGGTAGTTCTTTCCTCCTGGATAACTGGAAGTCTTTTTACGGACCAATCTGCCTCCGAAGCAGAATGTCAGGGATAAATCAGAGCAGCTGACATCAACCCAGTGCTGGAATCCTGCTCTCACACTGCACAACAAATCCTCCTCTGTGGAGGCAGGGAGTAAAGGAGGACAATGTCTGGAGTAAGGTTACTGACAAGAGGATTCCTTCCACATGGATATCGCTGCTCCTCCAAGCCACACCACTGCCAGGGCTCAAATACCACCCATAAAGGTGAACTGCCCTCCTAAATAGAATTAGAATTTTATCATAGAAACAATTGCTTCCTAGATTTCAGACCAGTGCTGGAAACGGCTACTCAGGCATCTAATTAATGGGGGAAAAAATGTATTAGCTGGTATGTTCTAAACCTTGCCAGACTCAAGACTTAGGCAAGCTCATGGCAGATAGGGGTGATCCCACTGGAAAGCTGAAGTGGTAGAGATCTGGATATAGAGAAGACAGAAGACTACCAATCCTCCTCTGCCTTGGGAACCTCTGAAGTGTGTAAAACTGAGCTCAAAACATGTGCTGTTCTCCAGGTGATGGGAAGGGTGCGAAACATAGGCTGTGCTTAACTACAGCCATGCATTTCCCCATTTTCCTCAAGAGAAGGAGACAGGAAGAAGCTCAAGGACTCGAGTTACCATCACTGGTTCAAGCTCTGCTCTCCATAGGAGCGGCAAGCATGCAAGAGGCTGAGAGCACCGCTCCTTACCTGGGCTTTCTCCCCGTGAGCCTCATGTACAGGTCGTAGAGGATGGCGGGTGCCTTGTGGCTGACAGTGATCCAGTACTGGTTTATCAAGTAGCTGGAGGTCATGTGAGCATTGGGTGTTCGGAAGGCTTGCTCCAGGGGGTTCCTTTTGAACGTGGACATGACGTACTGCCCTGCAAGGGAACAGCCATTTCTCACTGGCAATCACTCACTCCCAGCTGGGCTGGAAGCACGGGGCAGCACAGCCCAAGTTGTGCTTCACACCTCCAGCCCACAGCTCTCTGAAGTGTGTCACCAGAGCTTGGACCAGCTTGCCCCTTCTGCCATGAAAATTGACTCCATCTATTGCCTGTCTGAAACCCAACCCTGCTCCACACTTAACACTGGCAGACAAAAACCTCCTTGTCAAAGCACCTAAACATAAAGGAGGAAAAGCAGGCAGCTCTAAGAGCTTCAAGGAGCTGCAATTCTGCTTTCACCTGCAGCAGATGTAAAAGAAATTGGTCAGTGCTAACATTTCATTAGGTCACTGAAAGCAAACTTTGATCTGCTAGCATAAAATAAAAATGACATTTCTAATTTTCTGTCAGATTTTCCAGTGAGCTGATGTGTGAGTTAGTCTGTTGCTTACACAGGATGACAGCTTTAAAAAGACTTCATCAAATCCTTTCAAACCACATCTGACCCACACCACCAAATGTCTGCCTGTTGTCAGAAGACCTCTGGATGCTCTAAGGCAGCAAACTGTCTTGCATTCTTAACTCAAAAACAAATGATAGAGTGGGAATCTTCCCTTCCCTTTGCATGTTAAGGCACAAAATATCCTGGGTCTGATTCTGAGCTCTGGCAATGGCACGGTGCCACAAAGTGCTATCTAGATGTGCATATCTGGGACACTTGCATCCTGCAGAGGCTTAACAGAACTGCAGCAGTTGAGGGTAAGGCTATCATCCTAGGAACTGATAAACAGATGGTGCTCCTACTCCTGAGCACCAGCAAGCTCAAGAAAGAAGAGTATGTGGGCTTTTTTCACTTTCTAAAAAACTGATTTGAGAGTTAACGACATCAATCTGTGCTCATATTATCATTTAGTCTCTAAGCTTATGTTACAAATAGAAAATCAGATGAGAATTTGCAAGCCACAAGAAACATCCAGATCATCCTCAGATAAGCAGATTCCAATTGTAACATTCAGACAGGACTCTCCAGTGTCTGTGCTCAGCTCATTACCGCACTTCAAGTAGTGACTTTTGCTGTACTTCTTTTCTACTAAGAACCCCAAACCAGAAATTTGTCACTTCCAGGAGCTACTCCAATGACTTAGTGGGTGGATGGTCTCTCCCCTCCAACCTCAACACAAAAATGCAGCAGCAAATCCTACAACTCAAAGGCAGGTTCTGCAGGGGGAGAACTGGACACAGGTCTCACCCAGGTAGACTAACAAGAATAAATTGAACTTAATTTTTGCCACGCTGAACATCATCTCCAGCCTGTTTTACAGTTTAGTTTTGAGGAGAAACTGTAAAATGTACTTCACAAAGTCAGACTAACCAGATTCACACTGCAGCAAAGCAGAATATGCTTCTTCAGATAAAAAATTTAGTTGTTTAACCACATCTTTGTAAAAGCAGGCAAAGTACTGAGAAATTATGGGAAAATAAAACCCCCAATGCATAGCATTATTTGGAAAAGAAATAAATCAGTTAAGGTCCCTTTTAACACTAGGAGTTTTATCTGTGTCTGAGGAGCTTTAGAATGAACTGCCTTGCAATGGGTGTTTAAGCATAAACTCTCTTCTAGTCTTCCTCCTCCCTCCCTCCAAGCTCATCATCAAAGTGAACTCAAAGCATCACCATCTCCACCACTTCTGTTCCTAACCCTCGGTATTCTAAGCAAATCCAGCTTCAATTTCTCTGTTTGATCTTTCTCCCCTTGAAAAATCTCTGCTCCTACAGCAAGTCCTGGTGTCACCTAGGCTGACCAGGTAGCCCAGGCCCATCCCTCTGCAAACCACATGTTTGCTTTGCACTAAAATGCTCAGGCCCGTGCCAGGTGACTCCCACTCCCCTCCCTGGATTCTCAGCAGCTTCCAGACACTCAGGACCATCCTGATGACCAGTCACACACTCTGCCTCCTTGAACAGAATTATGTCTGTTTCCCAAAAAGAAATTGGTAGGAGTCTGAATGAGGATTCAGACCGGATGCCTGCAGTGCCTGCAGTCATAATATTGTGATGCAGTAAATCTTTCCCAAACTAATTTCTTCAGCCATGCAACATATTTTAAGGCAAAATTTTGCACTTTAATCCTAATTCTCTGCAGCATGCTGCTTTTGGGAAAACTGTAGAAAGTGTCACCCAAGGAGAAAATTTTGCCTTCAGTTCCACCACACAGCTCAGCTGCTCGTGGAAGCTGCTGCACCCAGATGATTTCATGGCTAATTCCACAGTTATAAGCAGAGGAACAGAATAAAATTAGTGACAATGAACTAAATACATTGCTGTTTTCATCAGTAAAAACCCTTTTTCAGGGTTAACAAAGGCAAATCTCAGAAAGTGGTGCAATGGTGGCTATTGCTGAAGTAGCAGCCTGTGAAGAGCTTTGCATTCACTCCTGTGAAAAAGCCACAGAAGATTTTGACTAACCACAACATTTCATCTCTCATTAAAAAAAAACAAAAACAGCCAGGAGCTTGATGTGATGTCCTCAGCACTCAGCCAATTGCTGAAACCTCTTCCCTGCTAGGCCACATGATCAAATATCATGGTTAAGACATTTATTCTGCAAATGCAATTATGGTCTCATTATCTGCTGACTTAGATAAATAAAGCAAGGGGAAAAGCAAAGCAAAGGCTGAGAGATGGAGTAGCCAGCCTCTTGTATTTAAAGCACAAAAATATGAATGCAGGGGTAACAGGTGCAGTACATCTGTCCATAAATGTACTAACTGTACATAGTATTTCACAGTACACAGCCGAGACAAATTTTGCTGCTTGGCTTCAGCATGAGTTTTTCTCTTCAAGGGTGTCAGGATCTGTCTCCCTTTCCTTCACCCCCTGCCTTGGAAGTACATCCACTTACAGAAAAGTCAGCCATGAAAATAATTTGATTTTTTTTCCCCCACAAAACTCATGATCAAAATACAAACTGCTCTTGAAGCCCACATGTCATCTCAACGTTTTCCTCCTCAAGTGCACACCTCTTATTTCTGTTCAGAATTTTCTGATGGACAAGAACGACCACCTCCATAGTATCACGGAATCCTAGAATGGTTTGGTTTGGAAGTGCCCTTTACCTCACAGGACCCTCCCCCAAAATGCAGTTTGAATGGCAGACACGGAATGCCACCTATATTGTGGAAACCAATTCTTCAAAGTGTAAGGAACACTATGGATGTTCTCCATTTAAATGAGACCTTACCCATTTCTCCCCAGAAGAAAGGGTTGATTCCCCCTGTTGTGCAGTTGTACACCAACAGGTTTTTTGGTCTGGAAAACAGAAAGAAGTATTATTTTGAGATGTCAAAAAAACCTATTTCTTAGGGATGAGATTACAAAATCAACCAATTTCAAGTAAATTCCCAGTTTAATACTAAACAAAGCTTGCACTTTTTGGCGTGGAACTAAACATGGATCACACTTTTTTATTTCTTCCTTCAACATAAATCAGTTTTCTTGACCTAAGCCTGCATTGCCAAGGGTGTCAAGTGATGAAATCAATACAGCATTTTTCTTACTGTATACATGAAAATTGCACAGTTTTAATTTGGTGGAGTTCTTAATAATGCTTTGAGAAGAAAGATCTCTTCAAGGTGAGCTGCCCTTCAAGGTCCTTTTAGGATCCATATTTAGCTCACTGGATGTAGCTCTGCCCTCACCTCAAAGAGCTTACTCTGTCTTTCAAAGTAAAACACTTCTGCCTTTTATTTGCCTGGGTTTGAGTTCTCAGAGTTGCATAAACCTCCAAAATAATTCATGCGGTTTATTCTCTGTACTCCTACATAATGATTAAAGGCCAGGATTAAAGGTTCACAGGAAAAGGCCTTAATATCACTTCTACATACTCTTCTCAACAATGCAAAGTAGGGAGATTTTTTTTGGATCATATAACCTATAAGCCCATAATATATTTACACTGTGCAGTGTTTCCCAAGGAAAACACACAGAGCTTTTTTTACCACAAAAACTCCAGAAGATACTTGAAAAGCAATTCTATAAAAAGGAGGCCCAAAAACCACTGCTGCAAAACTCTTGGCCTTCAGAAGACTTCTGAGACACAAGAAACATGTCTCACCCATGGCTGTAGAGATTTCCTAACTCTAAACCCTGCCTTTATTGTGTGCTCTCAGTCTTTGCCCATCCACAGGGAGAAAACACCAATCAGAAAATCAATCACCCAGCCTCTTGCACTGGTTTTTAACCAGCTCCTGGTTCCTTTTAAAGTGCTGGTGCAGGGAGCAAATATCCCAGGTGTGTGGCCAAAGAGGAATGGTACCAAGAGGGATGCCCTCCCACCTGTGCACGGCCGTGTACCACCCGGCTGCCAGAGTCAGGTTGATGGCGACGTCGACGGGGATCATGTCTGCCACCGCTTCGTTGTTGGCGATGACGGTCCGCAGGATCCCTTTGCCTGCCTGTGGGACAGGGAGACAGGGAAAGAGTCACCCACTCCAGCCTGGGCTGAGATTGAGCTGGCAGGACTCCAGCAGCGTGCACTGGGCTGTCGGAACTCAAAATGTCCCTCAGACATTTTTGGATGTTTCGGGTCCAGGTCAGAAGCATTTGAGACCCTGGCAGGCAGCTGGAAACAGCTGTGATTTTGAATTTGAGCCATGGAATGATTTACCAACCTTGCAGGAAGAACAAGAAGTCACAAAAGTTTAGATATTATAGTAGAAGTAGCCACAAAGTAAAGGGAAGAATTTTTGAGTGCTGTACAGGGGGGTTTTGGGTTTGTACATGAGGGCCAGAGGTTTTAAGATGGAGGGATTTGGGCCTGCCCTGTCCTCCCTCTTTTTTCTTCCTTACCTCCATGTTCTTGGTGATGTTGGCACTCACAGATTGGTTTAGAGTAGAAAAGCACCATTTAATATAGGTAGTAGGCATTGGGGAAAAACTGTAAACATTTATCACGTAATGTACCATATAAAAGATAACAGCAGCCCTGGGCGGGGGAGAGAAGAAGTAGTCAGGGGACAGAGAGGATGTCAGGGGTGTGTGTGTGCTCTGCCTGAGCTGCTGAGCAAACCACAGCAGCTAGAGAAGAAAATCTTTTAGATAACTTGCAATAAACTGCCTTGAAACCAAACAACAGAAGACTTCTGAGCCTTTCTTTGAAAGCACGGGTTGGAGGAGAGACTTTTCCACCACACGGAGCTCCGGCACTGGCCAGCTCTGTAGCAAATTTTTTTTCTGTTGCAGATTATTTGGTTTCCATGACAACAAAGATGGATCTCCCACAGATCCTGCTGCCCTGCATTTCCAGAGGACGCCTGGAAACATGATGCTGTCTGTGCTGTGTACAACAAGAAAAGCTGGGACTCTTAATTTAACTGAATAGGAAAGAAAATACCCAAGGAGGGAAATATATCTGAATCTGCTGCTGTAAAGTGCATGCCTGAAAGTTACATTTTCTTAAATGACACAGGCAGACACAGGTCTGAGTATACCTCAGAGACTGCAGTCACTTTGGAAATGACACCTGTAGGATTTTTGACAAGTTGGCTACCTTTCTTTTGGATGTATTCACACTCTGCTCTTCTCCAAAGCTGCCTGTTAAGCACAAAGATACAAAGGATGGCCCCTGTCTTGAAGAGCACATCACCCACCAAAACTCAATAAAAGAAATCAGTGCAAATACAAAAAGTACTGACAACCAAAAAGAAGAACTAGGAAAGAACAAAAAATTTTCACCTTGCTCTAGTAGGAAGTGCATTTTTCAGGGGATCAGGCTCCCCAGAATATGTACGTTTAACATGAATGCTTATCAGGGGGTTTCCATGATGACCAATGAGGCTTTGGAAACAGCATGGCAGACTGGAACAGAGAGGACAAGGCAAAATACAGAAAGGTGGGGGTGAAATGGGGTGAAGGAGATTTACTTGGTGTGTCACGGATGAGGGCTCAACAGAGCACATAAGAGAAGAAACCCAACATGGCAGAGTCATGGTTGCAATCAAGTTCTGTCTTGTGAGGGAAACAATGCAGTGAAGCTGAGGAACCAGGGAAAAAGCTGAGAGGATAAAAGTGCTGGTGAAGCAAGGAAAGATAAAAGCTCTTGTAATTCAGATCTGTGCAAAAGCAGAGTGAAGGACTGAATGAAAGAGCAAAAGAACATCTGCTACAGATCCATCAGTATTTAAAAGGTGGGGCAAAGGAGATGTTATTGCTTTTCTTAAGTTATTTCCATGCAATCTGAAACTCAAATGTCATTATAAAACAGATTAAATTTTTCTACAGCAACTGGACAGGAAGTGCCTAGTTGTGGAAAACCCCTTGCCTGAAATCTGAGGAGAGAAAAAAAAGTCATTAAAAAGGCATTTAAGACTTGGTATTAACTTGTAAAGCACATACCATTGTCTAGTGGTCACTGGTGCATATTAAGGGACACTGTATCCCCTCTTTGGGAGGTGTTTACATTTTGGGGTCTTTTTGGTGGCTGTTCTCCTCCTCCTTTCCCTGTCTGCAATCAGATGTGTTTGTTGCATTTCACAGTTTGAAAGTAAGGGAGTAACACTTCTGACTGATTTAATTTTCAGGAAGTAGGACTTCTAAGCAGTCCCACCTCATCCTTGGTGCATCAGTCAGAGGGATCACAGGCTCTGACACAGACAACAGGGCAAGATTCCCTACATGGCTCACTCCATCCTCCTCAAACCTGTGCCATGCATTGAATTCTGCTGCCCTAAGCTGAACTGTGGTTAGGCTCAGACACTAAAGCTTCAATTTGCAATATCACTATGATTTTCTTTGTTTCTTACTACCAGGTTTTTTCAAGGGGGAAAAAAAGGCAGAAGGAAACAAAGCAGGCAATCAAGCTCAGCTCTGAATTTTCCACTTCTATGAACACATGCTCACTAAAGACTACTGTGTGATTAACTATCACATTTTCACACTGAAAACCTTTCTGAGGTCTTCCAAATGAGGATGTTTGATGGATCTGCTGCAAAATGTGTTCAGAGCAGCATGTGATGGTCATACACACATGAATGGTTTCAAGATTTCCTATGTTTTGCATGTAACAAAGCCTTAGTTTCAAGTTTTTAGGTTACTTTTTACATCAAAAATGGTTTAGTGGTACTCCCATCAAGTATGTCTTGGTTTCTACTTACAGATACCGACATTTTTCTCTTTAGTGAAACAGAAACTACTGCAAAGTGAAGCCTCCAAAATAATTTCCTGGCCAGAGTCTGATGTTTCTAGACAGCCTCTCAGCTGAAGTGCTTTCAGGCCAGTCACTGTCCAGAACATACATTAAACCAGTTGTGCCCTACAGCTTCACTGCCTTGCAGGGAGGAAGGTCTTAGCATGTAATAAGGCATTTGTCTTAATTAAGACAAAATGCCTTAATTACACTCCAGCAGAAATTTAATTAATTTCATTTTGTTCCTCAATCAACAAACACAGCTCCCCACAGCAGCTGGAGCAACTTTAGGCAAAAGAAACATAATTAGATTATCAAGAACAACTTGGACTCCCATATTTCAAGAATATTTAAAAGATATGTGTCTATTGATGGAGTGAAATGATCAGATTCAAACACTGCAACTGAGAAAAAATTGCAAATTTGCAAGATTTGGAGTCCAGATTCTGCCCAAGTGACATCAAAGATCGCTGGAACCAAATCTGAATCTGAGGCATGTTCTCCCTATAGGATGAGCTTGGTTAGAAGTTGAAAGTGAGTATTTTGGTATGGAGGGACACGTCAAATGCACAAAACCAAACCATGAAAACTACTTCCCTTTTGCGTTTTTCAACACTTAATTAAAGGAAATAAAGCTACTCATCTAATAATCACAGTTTAAAATCCATTTGGCCAGGAGAGCTGGCTGTACTGACACAACTTTCAGGTAATCAAACTGATGCATCACTCAGATGTTTAAGGTTTCATTTTCAAACAACTCCCCACATTCAAGAACATTAATTCATGTACTTATTAATTCCCCCCTTTGGAAGAAAAAAGGCTCTTGGGTCCCTAATAGTAAACACTTTTCCCTTCTGGAAAACATTCCAGACAAATTTGTCTCTACACCCTGCATCCTTCTCATTGTTTTTTATCTTTTTTTTGGCCAACTCTCAATGTAGTTACAGACCACATTTCATCACCCAAGAGCTCAGTGTAGATGACACAAATTTCATGGTCTCTTCTACTATACTGAAAAACCTCAGAGCTTCAAACCTGGACCAAAAAATACCACCTCTTTTTCAAATCTCAGCCTAAATCCAATCTTTTTCTATATATATATATATATATAAAAAAAAAAGCCATTTCCCACAGTGACCCTAGAATCTCATAATCTTTGCTCTCCATGGAGCTAAACTTGGATCTAAAGATGCAGGCTGCATACAAAACATGGCCCAAGGTTTCTTGCAAACCAGTTCTGGATAAGTGGTGTAACAGACATCATTAAAAGTTATGATTAAAAAAATAAAGACCAAAATAAAATTAATGTCATTACAAAAGATAGAACCTGACACATGAAAATGTAAGAAGTGCATCTTCAAAATTAAAGACTTGCAAAGCATTCCTTGATCTTGATAACGTAATGAAATGACCCAGAAACCAGTGCAAGATCCTGGGACTAGAGCAGAGAGGCAGTACAAGCTTCTTGAGTTGTCACCAAGGAATAGAAAAAATTATTTTTGTTTAAAGAAACTGTGACATGATTAGAAGTCAATAATTTGTGAACAAAAATTGAATGCCTCTGAAATGTATAGACGGGGCTCACATGAAAGCATTATGTGTGTCCTGTGCATTCCATAACTGTAAGTTTCTATTTATGCTCTACTTCAGATATAAATGAACTTTTTTAACAAGATCATATTTGGATTTTATTCTGCTCTCCTGTGATTGCAGAACACTAATCCTTTTATACATTGCAGCAGGCTGATTAGAACATAGATTTGACAAAGTAATGAAGTTGGATATACATGAACAGAAATATCTGCCCAGAGCTATACAGCGTTATGTACTGACAGAGAAACCTAAGGCAGCGATTTTAATTCAGAACAAAAAAAAATTATAAGGCAGGAGAAAAGGTATGCAACTTTACTCCTGTAATGTATTAATTGTAATGATTATTTTCATCTTACAAGGAATATTTATCAAGTTAGGAAAAAATATAGTGAATTATCCATGTGACTGACAGAGTCAGAATCAATAATACATATTATTTAGATGTAGTCTGTACAAAGAGAAATCCTGTACAAAGCAGTGGCAAGTGGGAGCCAGAATTTTGGTATTGTGTAAGTATAACAAATTATAGCAGTAGATTTGGAAACAATGCACACAGAGACAAATGGAATTATAAATGCTGCTGCCTTGTATTGACAATGTGGTAACCTGGCCTAGAAACTAAAGTTGTGTTAAAAGATTCAAAAGATTACCCTCATTTCAAGGACACATCTTTGTCCTTTTCTTTGAAAATTTGCTGAATGTGTCCAAACCTTTATTTTTTTCAGGGTTTTTAGGAACTGCAATTCATCTTTTAGCAAACTAGCAACATGAATAGTCTCTCAATGTCCTTTTTCGAGCTCAACACAAAAAGACCATCCTGTGATTCCTACCAGCTGACAGATGTGTGCCAAGTGGGTGACATCTTTCTCCCAGACTCAGAAAACTCCTGTGGCCCTTTCCTGCACACAGTTTCTAAGTGGGGCTGTAGAGTAACATCAGAATTGCTATTTTAGTAACTCAAACTCCACTCTAAGGGGAGCTTAACCAGACATACCGCAATAAATATCCCGCTGGTCCCATTGAAGTTGTCAATCCAACCCTGTGGAAAAGAAGAATGATTAGTGTTCCTTTCAATGATGTACTGCTTACACAAGCTTCTGAATAACGACAGTGGTGTGGTGTAGACAAAGAAGGAAGGAGACACTAGTTTAGATGGATGCCAGCCCATCTAGGACAGCTGCCAGGATGTCAACCAGTACCAGGGGATGCACTGCCTGCAATTTACTCATCAACAACAGAATCAAGGTTTGTTCTTAGAAACCACTTCTTTCCTATTCCCTAGCCTCAGGAATAAAGTCTGGTTTTAAACACCACAGTATCTTGGTGCTGCCACACTTGCTGAAAACAGCTGGACTGATATTTACCCATGACAAACAACATGCAGTTGTCACCAAGGGTAATCTGGTCACTCCAGCTAACTTTTATAGCAAGGAAGAATAAAATCCCCAAACCAAACCACAACATTCCTTTTGAATCCCATCCTACTTCAGGTCAGGGAAGCTGCCACTTGTGGGAGCTGGAGTTCAGAGCAGTGAGGAGCTGTTTGACCTGGAACAGGCTGTGACACCAAACAGAGCTCTTTGTCTTTCCAAGATGGGGAGCTTGGCCCAGAGCCTTGGCTGTATCTCAGCCATCTCTGGCACACTTCAGGCTGTGTGAAAGCCAAAGGTGACTTTGTGCTGCCTTTCCAATTTGGCTGCAATATTAGGGCACGCTATTCCTATTGGTATATTTAGCTTAATTAATTATCTCATTCCAAAGTACAGCTGCATTTAATTACAGAGTGCCTGACATTTGTACCTCAACCACAATGCACCAGGCGTATGACGGACCCTCAGATCCCACATTTTGAGCACAGAAACTCTCCTGGTGTGCCTGAATGGACAATCAATTGCAAGCCCAGCATTCTGCACCATAACTGTCCCAGCTCCTGTTATTATTGCTTAAATGTGTTCTTTTCACAGGAGTTCTAAGGTGCTGAAGAAGACTCGCTGTTCCACTCCAGGACGGGATCTCCACCTCTTCCACGCATCTCCCTGTGAACTATGGATATCTGTTTCTCAAGACATTGCTACAAGGAGGGACAGATTCCTGACAGTATCACAGCTCCAGTTATATCCAAAGGTTCTAGGTTAGGAATTGTGTATTCATGCTTACTGGGAAAGGCTCATGCCAGCTGGCTCCCACGATGGATGGCCTGATGATAGCAATGTTCAAGTTTCCTTTCTCTTGCTGAATCAGGTACTCTGACAAGGCTTTGGTGTAGGTGTAAGTGTTGGGCCACTCCCCAAGCAGCTTGGGTGTGATGTCTTGAATGATGGATTCATCCAACCACCTACAGGTAACAAGGAGAAAGTCATCATTCACGAGGCAGGGAGAGAAAAAGATTCAGGCAAAAATTCCTGTCAGTGAGACAGGAATCCTCACCTGAAACAGAAGCTAAGCCAGTCAAAGATATTTAAGGTTTGGATTTAAAACTGCTCTGTGGGAGAAAGTTACTTTTGTCTTCAAGGTGCAAAATAAACCCTGGTGAGCTTCATGCTCCAATGCCCCGTTGCAATTCAGGTACCTCTACAAACTCACTTCAGAGCAATCTCTTGCATGGGTAATGCTTCACTGCAGTCTGTAACAGAAATATTGCCACGATCTACAGCCTGATAGAGCTCTCCCAGATAGGAATCCCACTAGGCAGTTCTCATCCTTATCCAACACAGTCCCTGTATACTCCCAAATATGTTTCAGGATATCCCGGGTACCCTTGAATTAGCAAGTCACGTAACAACACAAAGGTCTCAAAAGCTGGAAAAACATACTGAAGGGGTATTATTCCAACAGCGGTTTTCCATCATTTGCAGTGTTAGATGTTTCTTCTAGCAGGCTTACCACAGGTTTGTTCACACAGGAAACTGCTGGTTCTCAAAAAAAAAAAAAAAAAAAAAAAAAAAAAGAAACAAGCAAAACCAAACCACCAAAAAAACCTAAAAGAACCCAAGTTGGTTTTTATTTTTTGAAGGTTTGAAGGTATTCAAGTATCTAATCCACCAGAAGCAGTTATGCAGATAGCTTTTAAAAAGCAGCCCTTATCACCACGGAGCTGCAGGAAGGGCCTAACATCCAAAGGCTCTTCCCTGGCACAGCACCAGGAGCTCATAGGTCCTGGCAGCATCTGGGTGTAAAGGACAAGAACTGGCTGTGCTTCCAGAGCCCTTGCTGCCAGTCCCTGCCAGGCTCCTGGCAGCCTGGGGTTACACCATAGAATCAAAGATTAGCTCCTATAATCCAATTTGTAATTAAGTCAACGGACTTAAAGTTCAGTCTGAAGGCGTGGACTCTTCCCAGGGGCACTGCAAGGATACTGCATCCTGCAGATCCTCACTTCACCCCTCCTTGTCTTGGATTTCAGAGAAAGGCAGAAGTCAACGGAAGAGAAATACGATGCTGACTGCCACACCTGAAAAATTGCTTGATCCTGTCAACCTTTCAAAGACATGGTGGCTCAGGTGGCACAGCACTTTTCAGATGACTCTCATTGGGCACAGATGGGAAACTGTTGTATGAGGAAGCACTGATTCACAGGGGAGGGCTGGATGCAACAAATCTCTCGGTTTTGGAATGCATTAAAAATCTGACAACTTGTAGTACATGGGAATTTTTTCTTTAAATAAAAAAGCCCTATGGAGACACAAACACCTTCCTTTGCAAGCCTGGTCCTGTGCAGCAGAAACAAGGCAGAAGAAAGCATATAAACATAAAATATGAACTCTACAAAGGTTACAAGCACATAGGATTGACATAATTTGCAAAGCCGCTTAGGCAGCCATTGAACCTCAGAGTCTCAGCTAAACTGCTATTGTTTGAATCTGTGGAGTAGCTAATTACCAGCCTACCAAGAGGAGATGGCTATTTCTGCAGAGCCTGGAGGAAGACTAAGTTCATTTGGGAACTCAGGTTAAGCTGTGCGCAAATCTTTTTCCCCTTCTTTTTTTATTTTTTAAATTTTCATAATAAGGGGTTGCATTCTCACAAAGCAAAGACAGATGTAGATGTACAAGCAGAGGTAATTTCCTCTTGTCTTCATCCTTCCAGAGAGGTCTCAGCATTACCTGAGGATCTGTCCCAAGGGCACCAGCCTGCCAGGTGATTTTATGGACCAACATTCCCATCAGGGAGGTGGAGCTGACACTTCAGCAAGGAGAACTACTCTGTGACCTATATGAAATATTCTGAAATGCTAACTCACAAAAGCTGCTGCTTCTGTGAGTTAGCAGAACTTTACTGCTGCATCTGCCCCTTCCAAGCCAACAATGCAAATTAAACAATTAATAACTTCTCCATTATATGCACCAAAGTACTCTGCCACAGGAAAACAAAACTTTCTGTGTTAATGACTTTGCATTAGTAAGACTCCTTGTTGTAAGCAATGATGGATCTGTATTTTCTGCAATAACCAACCCACAGCTCCAGGACAGACTTTTCTGTGTGCTGTGCTCCTTACCTCAGCACACCCTTCAAAGCTGATTTCCTCCAGCTTTAGATTAAGGCAAACCATGCTTGATGCAGCAGATTATATGTTTCCCCTATTGGCCTGGCAACACTTAGAAGTGTGACTTTTGGTTTACACAGCTTAACCTCGGGGTTTACTTGCAGATTAAATATCAGAATACTGAAACAGCAAGATGTAACAGGAGGAGAAGAGCAGAAAAAGAAACAGCTGGGAGTCCTCCTTGAGATCTGAAGTAAGCAATTTTAAGCATATATCAAGTGCATGGCCAAAAGCACTGTTAAATGAATCTGTTATTGCATCCAGTTGTTCAATTATTCCTCATAAAGCACTTGCAAGAGCAGGATCTTAAGACAAGGGTTGGCTGTGAAAGGAATCATCCACAGCTGGCTGATGCAAAAGATAACCTGTACTTCTCCCCATTTTTGAAGGCAGTTTATATTTCCTTGTCTGCTTCCCCTCCCTCCTCTTCAAAGGTAAAATTCTGATACCTTTCAATTTCCTCTGAAACCTTCTGTACCCTGATATCCACACACTATTTCTTTCACTTACATGGCAAATATTAAAGGTGCATCTCAAACATGATCCTCTCTGCTGCATTTTCAAGCTATGATACATAAATTCTTAGTGTTTTATACGAAGCAGCTGAAGTAACAATCTCTGAGGTAGCCAAGCCCTTCTGCACACTTCTGACTAGCAATCAGACCTGTAGTGCAGTCTTTTTTTTAAATCTGAGCCATCAACACTAATTGTTTTCAGAGTTGCAAGTGATGGTAAGCTTTTTAGGACAGTGAAATGGAATCTTGACAGCGATGAACACCAAAGAACACAAAACTGAGTCAGTGGGCAAAAAGATGACAGAGCAGCTTCACTTTTAGGGAAAAGCAGTCTATCAGAACTGGTGCTAGAAGTTGCTGAGCTCAGAACTGGCAACTGTAGCTCAGCAAAAGCTCTTGAATCACAGCAGACAGCTCTGAAACCTCCATGTCAGTGCATGCCTATTTGCGGCAGGCAAAAAAAAAAAAAAATCAACTAAATGCTGGCCATCATCAGGTACTGAGAATGAAACCAGTGGTGCAATTTTGAAGCTATTTAAATAAAACTTGGAGCGACTGCAACAGGAGTAGAGTTAAAGAAAAGGTAGAGAGGAAGGACAGCTAACATCAGCACCAAGATAGATCCATCAGCACATGAGGAGACAGTAAAAAGGCTTAGACTCTTCAGGCTTCTGTGAGGGGAACAGAAAGGCGTATCCAGTTACCCTAAATAACATCTCCCAGTGACTGTCTTGAGGGCAAGATACTGGGCCAGGGAGCCCACTGCTCTAATGCACTATGACATTTCTCAAGTTTTTTATCATCTTCCACTTACTGAATAAATGATAAATGATTGATGACTACTAGCTGGAAGTAAACATAACCAAGAATATGGGCTACTAGAAAAATTCAAATAGAAAAACTAGTTTGTACTAGCTTCCCTGGAGTAGTGCTTAGGCAATTAAATTATTTCTTAAGACAAGCTTTTTTTATTAAAAAAAAAAAAAATCAGTGGTCTGATCTCTTAGTGGGCATTAATTAATTTCTTCTTCCATTACCCTAAATCAAGAATAAAGATTTTATACCAGCTCTTTGTGTTAATAGATCACAGATCAGTTGCTTATATCACCCACTAGAAAATGAATGAAAACACATTAACAGTTGTGAGAAAATTCTTTTAAGGAGAATGTCTCCTAGGACCTTTATCAGCTGATTTTGTTATTCTTTCTAATTATTCTTTATACTGGCAAATTCAATTAACCAAGTTTTTTTTGGTGTTTCATCAAAGCCCTGTATTCTCATCCGGGTTGAGAGGACATTGCCTCATGCTGTACCAGGAGAGGTTCAGGTGGAAATCATGAAGATTTTCCTCACTGAAAAGGTGGCCAGGCATTGGAAGGGGCTCCCCAAGGATGTGGTGGAGTCACCAATTCTGTAAGTGTTCAAAACCCAACAGTATGTGGCACTCTGTGCTCTGGTTCATTTGACAAGGTGGTGATCAGTAAAATCTTGGACTTGGTGATCTTAGAGGTCTTTTCCAACCTAAATGATTCCCACTGACCTGTCTAAAAAAGCCTGTTTCTTACTCATCTCCATATAACTCCAGTTAAATACCACAGGATTTCTGAAAGAAGTGGAAACAACGCTGGGAAGCTGAAAAGATAAAAAGAAAAAAGGGGTATGGAACAAAAAATCAGCTCCTACTAAGGCAGCAGCAGAGCTGAATGTTACAGAAAGCAGCAATTCCATTCCTGGCAGAAAATACACTCCTCCAGAAATTGATATTGGACTCTGATGAAATCAGTCTTTAAAAAACCACAAAGAAACAGCAATAACAGCACCTCAGACAGAAATCCCAGCCGATTCTGCGAACAGCTCCCAGGTCTGCCACAGGATGGAGGAAAGGCAGCACTGGAAGGGGCAATGTGGCTCCTACTTACTCTACTAAATCGAAGAGCTTCTGGGGCTCGGCTGGGGGTGGGTAGATGATCTCCTCGATGCATTTCCGGATGCAGTTTGCATAGGCAGTGGAGATGTGGATGAAGGCCTCCAGGTTGCGCATCTGCCGGGCCAGCTCCAGCAGCCGCTGCGTGCCCATCACGTTCAGCTGCAGGGCATGCCTAGGGAACACAGGGGGAACGAGCAGAAGGCATTTCACTGGGAATATTATAAAGGCTGAGCTTTATCCAAGCCTCATCGTGGCAAGGGAAGTCAGGGAGAGCAGGTGGAGCAGAAAGTGTCACTGAAATGCAAGTGTGAAACCAGCTCTGAAAGCAATGCTGTTGGATTTTCTCTTCTGGACACTGAATGTCTCTCAAATATTTTTACTTGATTTGAAGGGTCACAAGTAAGACTTCACTAACATCTCTAAATGTGACATGTTGGCCGCCCCTCTCTCAAACATGTATTTCTAAGCCCTGAGGCACTGTGGTTCCTACGGTACACATTCAGTGTTCTCTGGAGGGACCACTGCTAAACCAGAGGAACACACAGTTTCAGAAAGCAGGAAAGGGTCACTGGGCCCAGAAAAACAGTTTAATAGCATCATAGAATAGCTTGGCTTGGAAGGGACCTTAAAGATCTTCCAGTCCCACTCCCTTGCCATGGGCAGGGACACCTTCCACTATCCCAGGTTCCTCAGAGCCTCATCCAGCCTGGCCTTGGACACTGCCAGGGATGGGGCAGCCACAGCTGCTCTGGGAAACCTGTGCCAGGGCCTCAGCACCCTTAAAGTAAGGGATTTCCTCCTAATATCAAATCTAAACCTACTCTCATTCAGTTTGGAGCTACTCATAATCAAAGAAGACACCATTATAGATAACAGCTTAGTTCCAAAGGAATGGAGATGAGAAGTGATAAGCATAAGAGAAAGAATGTCCTGGTTAGCAAGGCTGACCTTCAAGCACTCAGCATAGCTAGAAATTGTCCTAGAACAGTCTGCAACACATCTCAACCAGCAGACTCTGTTGCATGCTTTGTACTGGAATAGAGACACTTTCCTGCACAGAAGGGAGAAGACTTAGGAATATGCAATCTGCTCAGCCCAGGAGTAGAAGCTTTCAAAGGTATGTACAATGTTAGGAATTATGCCATCAAGCACAGTGTACACTAAAAAAACTTAATTATGTTGAAGAGAAAATGTAAATAGTCCAAAGGAATGAAAACATCAGCTGAAGAGTATAATCAATATTTGGTTCACTGTATATAAAGCTAGAGATACCTTTCTTTTTACACACTGCTATTAAAGTGAAGCATTTACTGTAGATTTCTATTTTCTCCTGCCCTCTAGCAGGATGAATACTTCTACCTGAGCTACCCTTCAGACAAAACTAACTTTTCCATGCACATTTCTGTTTCACTGCATCCCTTCTGAGAAGCGATGAACAGAACTGTGCTCATAATATGGGCCTAGCATGGATTTCTGCTGAGTTGCTCAGAGTTCCTTTAGCCATCAAAGGGAATATCATCTAACCCTGGCAGTTTGTTGTTTGTTTTTTTTTTCCCTATTTCTATTAAACCAGCATCTATTAATATTTCAATGTAACATAATTTCTGAGATTCCATCGGGAGAATTCTCTAAATGTACTGCATGTTGATACCAATAATTCATTTAGTGCCTCCACTGCTGCTTCTCCAGTATCTTGACAGCAATGCTTTTGCCCCCTTCCTTATCTATTTGCTTTACATATATTGTTGTAATTTTAGAGCTTCTACCATGTTGAAAAAATAATTTTGTGTCATCATCAAGTTGCTGCTCAAAATTCTTAATTAAGCAGCAATATTGTGCTTTCACATTTAACTTGCTAAAACTTTTACCCATCTGATATATTTTATTATTCAGTCAGGAATAATTTGAGTTGAAGAACTTCTCATATTTTGCCTTCTAATCACCATTTTCCTTGTTCTGTTAGAGAGATTTTGACAGATCACATACAATCAATCTTTAGTTTCTCCACTGCCTGTAAGCTGATGAGCTTTTAAACTTTTAGCTTCTTTCTAGGTATCCTCCATATTAAAAATGCAGTTTCCCTTTGATGCTTCATGCCACTGAGACTTATTTTTAAAGTGGGTTAATTTGTGCATTGATTTAAGAACATTTGTGGCTACTTACGTATTGGCTCAAGATCACATCAAGAGCTGCTTTCTTTCTGGTGTTTCTCTAATTAGTTTTTCTAAAAAGCAAATATTTATGGTGGACATTGTGGCTATCTCTTTAGCCTATGAGCAAATAAAGACTGATATTACGAATTGTGTTTTCTACTATGACAGCTTTAGTGCTTTTTCAAAAGACTATGAGCTTCTGGCAATGCAGATCATCCACCTGGGTTTGTTGAAATGGATAATCTGCACAGAAGCATTTACACATCTAATCTTGTTTCAGTGGCTCATTTCTGCTGGTTTTTCTAAATGGAAAAGCCTGCCTGGGACAGGCACTCCCAAGGGAACTCCTTCAGAAACCGAGCATTTATTGTAAACATTTAATTACAGTGAGAGCTGGGTGTTTTAAAGGTAGAGATGGGCTGTTTTCTCAAACCACAGCTCATTTCCCTCTCCAGCTACTCAGTGACAAAAAAAGGCCATTAACAACACCAGCTTTAGAGACAGACACAGCACAGTTTCCCTTCAAGCTGCCTGCAGCTCTGCCAAAACATCTCCCTGATGACCTAAACCACACTTTTCCTCAACCCAGTTTTAGGTCATACTTAACTCCCTTACGGTACTACAACCCAATCCTGCGCTTCTTCCTTCTGTTCTGTGGGACTAGGCCAAGACAGTTCCCTTTTGACATGCACACACACACACACATTTTCAGAGCACACCACCCCTCCCGTGTTCAGCACAGAACCACATGGAAGGGGGAAGCAGCGCTGCAGCCATGCAAGGGATGCTCTGGGCAGAGCCAAAGCACACCCTGATCCCGCTCAGAAACACAGAAAAGCAGGACGTACTTGAGGGGCTCGTCAAAGCGAACTGTGGCTGCACAGTGGAAGACAACATTGACCCGGGTCAGAAGCTCCTCCTCGTCTTCAGCACTGATGGCCAGCTTGGGCTGAGTGAGCTCAGCATTAATAGGCTTAATCTTCTCGTGGAAATTAGGGCAATCTTCTCGGACCCTGTCAAAGACCTTGAAGCACAAACAGAGAGAGATCAGGTACGGAATTAGGCCGGCTGAGATCGCTTTGATTAGAAGCCAGTCTGATTCCATCAATCAATGCAACTGGCACAAAAGAGAATTCCTGTCTGGGGCCACACAGGTGAGAGGATAAAACAGTCCATTCACTTGTTCCCTCCCAAGGGAAACAGGACAAAAATATAGATCGTAAAACATTGCTCTGAAGAGATTAATGAATCTTCTCTGCCACCATTCACTTCCTCAGACAGCCACCAAAATTCCTCTGTGTCCACATCTGCAACCACTTGCTACTTGACCTCAAGGGCCGCCTGTAGGACCAAAACATGAGCTAAAGAGCAAGAGGGCAGAGTATGGTGTAGGAAAACAAACCTGTGCAGCTTTACCCAGGCTAAATGGTTCTACAAAGGACCTGCAGAGAGGAGGGGAACTGAGTAAAGTCAGGAGCCAGCTCAGATCACCAACTGGTTGCTCCTCCTCCTCTTCCTTTGCTGCTCCTTGTCTACTGCTGTCACTCTTTGTTCATGTCGGAGGAGTCCAGTGGGGATCTGCTTTTGGGATGGAAGGATGGGGCATCCCAATAATCCCCAGTGTTGAAGCTGCCGAGTGCCACCAGCAGTTTTGGATAACTTAACATGTGTGGAGCTGGTTGGCCTCTCAAGCCATCTTCCAGCCCTTTTTTTCCTACAAGTATGATCTGTAGCTCTCTTCAAGACACATTTCTGCATAATTATATTTGAGCTATTTCAACTGAATTAATAGAAATTGTTAAGTACAAAAAGATCCTTTTTTTGGGGGGGGGGGGTTGGGGTGGAACAAAGTGACATCATGAAAGGTAGAAAGAATCAATGGAATAGAATGGGTGTGGAATCTGAAGAGGTATTATCTAGATTCCAAAGGATAATCACGCCTCCAAGGTAACAAGTCTACTGTCAGGAACACCTAATACTGAGAGAGATTACTGAGGGATACAAAGGATGAATCACACCACCTTTGGACACCTTTAAGAGCTCTCTATATAAGCAGTGCCAGGAAAGGCAGGGAACAGCTGAACCTGCCTTGGGGAAGGAGGATGGACCAACTGATTTGCAGTAGCTCTGTGGTTTTGGGCTGTTTCCCCTCCTCTGTAGCCTACACACCAGTAGGCTACAGAGGAGGGGAATACTGAGGAGTTTGGAAATACCTTTACTACCATGGCCTCTTGTTTTCTTAGAGTTTCTTCAGCCTTTCACGTGCCCAGGGCTTATGTACAAGCAGAAATTGTGTGACATAAATTAAACATACTAAGACACACATGAAAGATTAAATTTATCCTAATAGCAGTATTTTTTTTTTTTGTTTGACCAAGGGATTATCATCTTTCTGCTTATCTGACAAGCAAATCTAGATAAACCTTGAGGCTCTTAGGGATAAGGAGGTGATATAAGTATCATTAGCTTCTCCATTATGCACTACACTCTATACTTATTTTAAATTGCCACACAGCTGCACATCCTTCATAAACATGAAACTTCAGTGCAAGTTAGGACAAGACAAAGCTGTTTCACTGTTCTCAGCTGCACCTGAGTGCACACACCTTTCATCAGTGTGCTAGGCCAGAAAATAGATCTCTAGACAGAGTTATTAATGGGCAAAGGTGCTGGTGAGAGCTGGCTGGACTGTAGGAACTGAATTTCCAGGCACTGACAGCCCTAATGTCTGCAAAAAGCTTGTTTTCTAAAAAGATGCTACACTGGCTCTCCAAACATGCATCATCTCCTGAGAGATGACAGCAAACCCTAACAGGACACAAAATGAAAAGATTTCTCAGAGAACACATGTGAGACCAAAGCTATCTTGTAGGACTCTCAGAAATATTTGTTTGCATTTGTTCTGTTGCAAAGAGAGTGCAAAATGCCACGAAATGAGAGTTATTTTCTTCTTGTTTGGCATAAGTAATGCAAAGGCAGAGAAAGAATGAATCAGCCCTTTGTCAATTCTGCCATGGCATATAAAGTAAGAGTAGTATTTCTGCAGTGCCAGCCTTGGACAGCTAAATTCTTCCTACATCTCCTCCTGATACTCCCACTGCAGATAATATCCCCTTTGGCTCCTGTGCCTGCTGCTACCACATGGCACTCAGCTGCTGCAGCTTTTCATCCCCTCCAATGATTCACTGCATTCCTCTGAAGGATGAAGGCAATTTCCAAATGCAAGCACACAAGTCAGCACACTGCTTTGGAAACCTTCTGCACCACAGGAACATTCAGTACATTGTCACCATTAAATCAGATAATGGGAGCAGCTGTTTAATGAAAGTCTGCTGCTTCTTTTATGGAAGCTGAGGATTCAGACTTGTCAGTGCTTAACAGGGAAACGAGGGAAGATTTAAAAGCAAAATAAATGCAGCTTATTTTATACTGCTTCCTGCAGTTCAAGGAGTACTTAATATAATGTTAAGATGATGCTTAGTCTGAAGGTAAATTTTAATTGCATCTCTAGATTCTGATGAACTCACCAAGAACATAAATGATAAATCCCCAGTAACTGTGTGAGGCCTAAGGATTGTTCTGTCTTTTCTTTTCAGAAGCCATATGCAAATATAAAACACAGTCAGTGGACTGGCCTGATGTACTGCTGAAATTACATGTAAAGACTGGCCAGGTCAGCAGCACTTCTGAAGGGATACAAAGATTGCCACAAAATCTGTGAAGAGAAAGGAAAGGCCTTTGACTTCAAGTTGTCCAACATCACAGAAACGGAGGGAAATCAGTAATAACATTACCCTGATTTCAGTGTCTTTTTGAGCATCCAAATGTTGCTACTCCCATTCTTCAACTCAGAAGAGATATAAGTTCAGCATGGGCTGTTCTGCCCCTCAATAGAGGGGAGAATTTCTTATTTCTCATTTTATAATCAGGCAATTCCTGTTTATAACACTAATCAAGTATCTGTTTTCACTATACATTGTCAAAAATGTGAAAACAGGACATCTGGAATTTCTCCCAGCATTCTAGTTGAGTGTGTCTGATGGACGTTTTCTCTATTCCTGCCCTCCTAAGCTCTGACCCCCCTTTCCAAAGGACATCTGCAGCTCTTGGTGTTCCCTGCTCTTGCCTTGAAGTATATAATAATTCAGAGAGGTTTCTGCCTACCAATCCTTCAATCAGAAATTTTTTCCATGCCACAAAGATACAAAAACCTCAAAGAAAGGGCAAATTGTCCATCTGTGGAACAGCACAGCTGAAAAATAAAGGAACCACCAATCAGTGCAAAATGCCAAAGGCTTTGCATCTTCCTCAGGAGGCATTTTCAGTGAAGCAAATACAAAGTAATGAAAAGTAGAGTGCCTAAGTGATGGTCCACTTTAAAAAAAGAGCTTGCACAAGCTTAGTCTTGTCAAAGCCTTCTCAACAGCCTGGGCAGTCCTTTCTTTTTTGGTCAGTACTCTTGGATCTCCCTCTACCCCACTGCACTGGTGGGCAGTGGTGACTGGTGACTGACCCAGAAAGCATCAAGTTTTTAAGTGTGGCCAAGATAGGCAACCTCTTTATCTCAGGTGTGTTTAACAGGTGCCAGGAAATCAGGCTTCTCTAGGAGGATTGGTATTTTACATTACAACACAAACATTTCAAGGCATTACTGTATGACAAACATAAAAGTGAAGAAAATCCAGAGGATTTCCACAAAATGGAACTCATAAATGGCAAACCAATGAAAACATTAAGGTTGAGAGAGCTCAATTAAAAAAAAAAAAAAAAAAAAGTGCCAAAAGCTTCCACCTCTCATATAAAGAAACGGAAGGGATTGCTTAGCATGATTCGGGAGAATATAGGCAAGAATTGCTCCTTGGGAAGAAAATATATAATTTATACTAAGAGAGACACAGGCCAAAGGATAAAATATCAGGGCAAAAATTTCTTCAAAGAAAAAGGTGTGCACTGGCTGTACAGAGCAATTTTAAACCCAGGGTGTTTGAAATCCCTCTTCTGAAAAGAGCACTGTGTACAAATGCAGGGAACAGCCTATATATAAATACACAAAATAACACTCCCCAGGGTGTGCATCCATCCCTCAGTGATTTTAATGACAGCATCATAAATATACAAGTGATCATCACAAATTTAAACTACTGAAGGCACCAAAGTCATGCAAACAACTCTTAAAAAACACCTGATGTCTGCAGTTTAGTCCTGCTAAAAGGGTTTATCAGACTTGTGTTTGCCACTGATAAAAATTCTCCAATACATTTAATAAAGGAAGGTACACCACTATTTTAGAATTGCCATTGTAGCAAATTTGAGATGTAACTGGGCAGCTTCAAAGTAATTAGCCAGCAATTAATCTTTAGCCTGGTAGATTTCCAGAAATAAACACCAGGATTATTCAGTCAAGAAATGTGTGAAAATCAGATCAGGGAGCTTTAATTGGGACAGAGCCTTTTCTTCCCCCCTTTTTGCATTCTCTGCCTCATTTCCTCTTCAGAAAATTGCTTTTAAGTACAGTTCTTCTCAAGGCAAATAAAGCATAATTCATCTCATCAGTGGGAAAGCAGGCAGCAGAGCATCCCTCATTACAGAAAAACAAATGGCTTTATGCTTCAATCCAGAGCTATTACTTTCCCCTGAGTAGTGCTAATGTAGTGGAAATACAGGACCCATCACCAACACCTAGTAAACAAAACAGCTGATTACTAAAAAAGATGAAGACTACAGAAACAAAGAGAGGGACAGAAAGTTTCAGTAAAGCTCAGCTAAGACTAATATGTATATCCAGATATTTGGGATGTGGTTTTGAATAGCCAGATTCCTTGAAAACTGGCTGCTGACCAAGCCTGCTGTTTTCTAGCAAGAATACTCGAATTACACAGCAGTGAATCTGGAACACTGTCCAAGCCAGACACTGTGGACAGGAACATGAGGGATTTGAGAGACAGGGAAAAGCTTCTCGTGGTCTCTAGTGCTATCTTATATGTGGGTGGAAGAGTCATGGATAGAACAAGGAGTTTTCTGATG